GATGATGAGCTGATTGGTCCTTTGCGTCCTCAATCAATTGCTCAGAAGGCCCGGCTACCAGCACGCAGGTACCACTCTCCCGGAGGGAGAAGTGAGCCCTACGGCTGATAACCTGTGAGCAAAACGAATCCTTGTTCTGGATATGTGGTTATTTAGCTGTGATACCCGTAGTGCTGGTAGTTCCGGACAGCGTTACGGCATTGCAAGCAGAGCTCGGACTTTTTCCTCACGCAGGGACTTGAGCCAGTACGGCGTTCCAAATGTACAATCATGTATGTACATGATAAGCGTCCTAGCGTTTAGTTCCCTTTGACATATATCATATATCTAGAATTGTATAGATATAGATATAGATATCACATCGGAACCTGCTGAAAGCAAAGCCATCGAGTTTTACACCTTCCGTGACATTGGGTAATCCGTGCGCCAAGATTACACCGCTCGATTTTTCAACATGTATGGTTGAATTCGAAAAACATGTTTCAAAGTGTTGGTTTGGCATGTTTGGCAGTGCACCTTAGCCATTTTGGTGAGCAACTCCACCACTGCAGCGGGAGGGATATTGTGACACGTGGTGGCCACGAAGTACCTCTGCAGCGGCTCACGTCAGACCGATTCGAACCGCTGCAGTTTCAGATTCGGGGGCCTGCCAGATCGTGTTGCCTCTTTTGCTGACCCTTTAAAACTTTATTTGTTCACTAGATGGCGTGAATCGCACCATTTCATAAACATATTCTACTCTTGGGTGAGGTGAGCGTTTGCGAAAACCTCTACAACATGTGGGCCCTGACCCCATGGACTCAGAATAGCAACCATATAATGAAACCCTGTTTAAATTCATGAGGGCAGTATGGCCCGAAAGGAAGCAGGAGGGAGGAGACGAGAACATACAGAAAAAGGAGATATGATGAATGATGAGATGATGATGATGATGATGATGATCATGATGATGATGATGACGACGATGATGATGATAATGGTGATGATGGTGGTGATGGTGATGATGATGGTGATAATAATGGTGATGATGATGATGATGATGATGATGGTGATGGTGATGGTGATGATGGTGATGATGGTGATGATGGTGGTGATGGTGGTGATGATGATGACGATGACGATGACCGCAGTGGTGATGGTGATGGCGATCAAAATGAACGATGAATGACGACAAAAATGATCATGAAGATGGTGATGTATGATGACTGATGCAGATGAAATATCATGTGTCCACGTTTTGGTGCATTTTTTACCGTAGCAGGAGATTTGCCTCAGTGCTGGCACCTGAGTGACAATCAGGAAAACAATGTCAATGAAATCTAGCTGGTCAGAGCTGTTGGGAAACCACGGAAACCACGTTGCCGATTCTTGAACGGCAAATTTCAAGATGCGTTCTTTTTTTTTGGCATCCTTGCCAGAAAGACATTGCCAATCAGGAACGGTGACATCTCCAAAATGAAGAGCACCTTTGCGAAGTGGAATCTATGAGCCTGGGATTTGAAATCTAATTTGGGGCTCATAGCAACTGCTTCTGATACGTGCAGATGCTGCCTGCCAGGGAGGGGCTCTACACACACACATTTAACACAGAGAAGCTTTACGCAGAGCAGCTGTCACACAGACAAACGACTTTTATACACACAGACGCCTTTACACAAAGAAGCTTGTATGCAGAGCACGCCCAAGCTCTGGTCGCAGTCAGCCCCCGAAGTGGAAGTTTGCACCATCCAAGCTTATATCATTGAACTTCAGACTAAGGTCAAACGCTTCAAGCTACTTGGCACCAATGCTACGAAAAATAATCTCCCTGGCTTATTCTAGACGCGCTTGTAAACTTCATTGCCACGCGGGCTATGCTTATGTTTTTGCCAGAAAGAAGATAAATAAGTTTACAATTTCTTCATATTTCTTCATGCATTTGATGCAGTTGCGATTTGGGCGCAGCCGCCCAAGCTCAGCAAGGACATGTGGTTATGCGCTGCAGCTGGCCCTCCGGACAGGGAGACCCTGTGTGATATTGTCAAATTAGCTGTAAACATTGATGTATTTCATTGCATTTCCAGAATGTGTGCAGAACACAACATGAATATATATGTTATTGAAATTCATAAAATGTCACAATGCAAAACAAAAAAAAAACATAAAAAAACCTATCAAATCAGGAGCCATTCACAAATCTTGCCTCAAATATGCTTCAACATGCTTCAACAATAAACACATTTTGAGCCACTAAATGCTCTGTAACACCAGGGCCCTGACCCCTTCAAAATTCTAGTCTCTACAATATCCTTCTTTATCGGGCAAACAATTGCCCAGACTTTGTAAAGGAAAAATTGGGAGGATTCGAGCTGCATATGTTCTGGCATATCTTGCCACCACTAAGAATTGCTGAAATGCTGAAGCCTTACATTTCCATCTGCTACGCCAGCTGAACGTCGGCGCACAATCCATTCTTTTTGATGAACACATAGGTCACCTCAGATCTCAAGTTTAGCAGTCTAGCAGCACTTGTCCATACTCCAACTTAGACATTGCCCGTGCATCTTGCAACTCTGAGCAATGGCCAGATCTCAACCTTTGTGGACCCCTTCAAACTATCCCAAAATGAGCAAACAGCGTTCACGCTAATGGGGAAATAAGATCACCCTGTGAATTGGGGGTGCAACTTGGGTGCTAGGATTTTATTGTCTTAAAGGGGGGGAACACAAGTTGAGGAAAATGGGGCACCTACAAAATCACAACACCTACCCATTTCATCACTACAAAATCAGGACACCAACCCACACCAAAAATATGAAATCTTGTAAAATCAAAGCACCCAAGATACTCTCGGGCAGTCATTTTTTCACAAATTGACCTCTACAAAATCACAGCCCAACATTGCCAACTCCCAGCGTTTCTGATAGACCCAAGTACAAGGGGGATATGGCCATGAAACCACCCCATTTTATGGAGCTAAGACTTGGAGTAAGTTTCATGAAACCACCCCATTTTATGGAGGTAAAATTTGGGGCAAGTTTCATGAAACCTCCCATTTTATGGAGCAAAGAATTGGGGTAAGTTTCATGAAACCACCCCATTTGTGTTACATAGGCTATCTTAAAAATTACCTGTGTCCCCTGTAGAATCAGGGCCCCTAGGTTACTTAAGTTATTTTAAAAATTACCTGTGACCCCTGTAGAATCACGACCCCGAGGGTGCATAGGGTATGTCTTAACACACCTGTGTTCCCTATAAAATCAGGACACCATAGAACACCAATAACCTCTATAGAATCACAGCCCACACTGTTTCAGGTTCCCAATTTAGGCAATATTTAAAAAAAAAAAACTTTATTACAGCACCCAGGTACCCTGATTCTATAGGGGTTATTCGAAGGGGGATGAAATAAGATTGGATTTGCTTTGTGGGCCTCGTAAATTTGAAGACTCATAAGCTACACAAACTTGTTCAGGTAAAATCATTACAGGAGAAATCTCTCTTTTGTACTGAAACTCAGCATTTGCCATGTTACTCCGTCCAGGTTGAAGATTGGTGGTGCGTCACCATGCCAAAACTTCACCTGGCTGCCAGTGGGTTTGACAAAGCCTGGGGACTTCCGAGAGTTTGGGATTTTGAGATCCACTTTGATGTCTGGATCTGCCACTCTCATTACCTCACCACAAAAACATCGGACAAATTGGACAAATTGGACCCAAAGCTTTGCCAACTCGCTGTCAATGCTTTGATTTTGTGATCTCCGCTGTGGCCTTTCGGAAGAAGATCTCCGCAGTGCCTTTCACGACATCTCCGCGAAAGTCACGTGTGATGATCGTGTCACCACGCAACGATAGAATGTAGAACCTTACACGCATGTAATGCACGGAGGCACAATAGCGAAGAATTGTGAACATTATCAAAGAGCTTCATAGAATGGTATGCAAGGCATATTTGTACAACATAGGATGTTGTAAACTTCGCAATATAATGTTGTGCAATTGTGCAGTGTCGTTGTATACAAATACCGCCAAGAATTACCGCACAAGATAACTGTGTTTAAGAAAAGTAGACATCACGACCTCAGTCTCCCTCATCTCCCCTCTTTGAGCTTCTGACTGAGATATCATCGCAACAATATTGTACCGGCAGCGATTGGAAAAACAATTACCAGAGGACAGAAATGGGACGTTGTGCAAAGCTGTGCAGAATTGTGCTTTGAGATATTACTTTCAAAAGAATTGCTTTATGAGAATGTGCAGTGACCCTCTTTCAGACTTCATTTTGAGAACATGGCTGGTCAAAAAGTGACAATGTCATTGAACACCGAGTGACTCTTGAATGCTCTTTCCCGTGGACTGCCGACGGTGGATCATGCCTCTTGTTACAATGTTGCCTATTAAAGTATCATATAGTATCATTAAAATATCAAATCTGGTGGCTTCCGAGAGATTGATGGTTTCCACATGTTTCAACAGTTCCCACTTTGGCCACGGCTGGAGCCGAAGGAAACCAACAGAACCAGGTGGCAAGAAAAACATGGTTCTCATCGATTTCGAAGCAGGGGCACAAGATGGCACAAGTACAGCAACTCTCATGTTTTGGGAGTTGGAGCTTTTGAGTAAACAAGGCCCAAAAACATACAGAAACAAGATGAAACAAGATGAAACAAACAAGAACCGAAGGCTCGCTGACTTCTTCTCTGATGTTCCGAAGACATCCTCTGGATATGTCGCACTTTTGTCACAGCAGCCAAGCGCCACATAGCACCACAAGGATGGAGCGCAAAAGAAGTTGCTGCCGGGCAAAACCTCCAACTCACACAACTCTATGTACAATCTTATGTCCTGCGAAATACTGCGAATTCAACGAGGGTATCACAAAATCTCGGCACTGGCAAGAAGTGACACGTAGCTTGCCGAACCATCACAAGCAATAAAACTGCCTTAAACAACCACATCAGGGATCCCCATGAATCTATTCACATTCTATTCACAATTTTTCACAGTTTCCTTCCTAATGTCCTACAAGAGGAAAGGCACCAGTGCTCTTCGTTCCTGTCGCTCACCATGGATCATGGATCATCTTGATCGGACGGAATCGCAGGAGTTGAACCATGAGTCATATTGAGTCAAAGAAAAGTCAAATAAAAAATTGCACAAAGCTAAGACAAAGCTAAGTGAAGCAACAGCACTGCAATCTGGTTTTGACAGCGGGATTTTGAACTTCACCAACAGCAGTCGTCTCTGTTGACAACCGGCCTTGGGATATTCATCTTTGAATTTGTCCAGGTACCTGGTGGTCCGCAAGCTTCAGCGGAGCTAAGTTCCCAGCTGCCGGGTACAAGGAAGAACAAAGTATTGAAATGTATTGAACAAATTGAACAATGACGGAATGACGGGCGCGCCATTGATGATGGCTGATAGCCTGAGAGATGGAATTCATGAAATGAAAGCATTGCCAAATGTCGACTGCAAACAAGCTCGACATGAACACTGTCTCAGCAATGTCACTACCAGGTGATTTTAATGCAAACACATTCCGTGCTTGGAAGGTTCATGCTTTGACTTTTTGATTATTTTTCTATTCAGACTTTTCAGACTATTCTTGAATTGGTTTGCATACCAATTCATTCAATCGGATTATAATTGCATTCACAGTGAAGTTCACACTGTATACGACTGTATACCAAGTTCACACCGATGCCGATGCTTTGAGGTGTGAGTCGCCCACTCGAGGTCCAATGTTGCAGGCCTCAGCTAATTTCCAAGTCGTCCAAGATCGTCCAAGATTGTCCAAGTAGAATGAAGGTGTGATCTCCAGTCCATCCATGTCCCACAGTGATCCCGTCGTGTACTTCGAACATAGGACCCTCATGAGATCAAACGAGTAATAAGGACGAGTAAAGGAAGTTATGCACCTCTCTTCGCGAAAGAAGCCCAGCTAATCGATCTTGATACATTTAAAACAAAATGATAAAACATGATAAAACAATTCTGGTTGGAATGCAAGATGCTGCAGTGAAATCGACTGAAATGGTGTAAATACTGTGACATTCTCAGCGAGCCCCGAAACTGAGATAGCTTCAACTTCGATTTGATAATTCATCGAGACTATTCGAGACAAATCGAAGTCGAGACGCAGTGCAAAAGGCGAAGGTGATGCCTGGTAAGGCACCTCCCATGGCCTTGGCATCGAGAAAATCAGACTACCGTCTGTTGTCAGTTCTGTCAATCTCAGATGTTCAAATCTTTTCAGACTTCAGTGACTTCAGTGACTTCAGTGACTTCAGTGGCTTCAGTGGCTTCAGTTTCTCAGACTCTATCTTGTGATCTTTGAAGAACCAGTCACATGTCACGTCGCTTGCAAGCAGCAACGCAAAAGCTTCAATTCATACAAAGCTCTTCCACACTAGCAAAGTCAGTCTGTCGGAATGAAATTGAAGTGAACCCTAAAAGGACTCAAATGACTCTCAAGTGAATCATGTGCATTCTTGCATCTTGTTATATCTTGTTGTTTGTGTTTTCCTTCAACGTTAATCCCTGCTCGGTGAGAGGCCCGATCACCAGGCTAGCAGGGACCCGTGATCTGATGCGAGAATTCCCGGGTTTTCCACTTCGTCACCAGTCAGACTGTCACTGGTATTCATTGGTCATGAGTCATATCTGGTCATTCAACCCGATTCAACCCGATTCAAACCAAGGGTCAATCGCAAAACCTGTCCACTCCAAGATCTCACCAAAGAAATTGGCACCTGCGGTTGACGAAACGACGGCACAGAATTGAAGTTGACATACTGAAAGTGGATCACACACATATCTACTTGCGATTAGCACTTCTTCTTCTTCTTCTTCTCAGATCTTCCAAGTTGTATCTGGGAGATGGATACCATGATTTCCTTCTTTCAAACACAAACATAAAGAATACATACATAATTAATATTAATCATACAATATCATACATACAGTATATTACAGTATCACAGATCCGAGATCCTTAAATCCCGTACATTCAAGGCATATCATGTTGCACCTTCGAGTGATGGTCATAATCTGTGAGTGATCAAACAATCAATCTGACATCTGAAACCTAGAAATCGCTGTGAAACTGTTTCTATTCCAGGGATTCCAGCTGTCGGATCTTGCATTTCTTACACCACAGGCCTGAGATGTAGTCAAACATGCCCCCATGAGGGATCTTGTACCTGTCGAGTCACAAGACAAGACAAATAGGAAATCATCAACACATCCGAGATCATACAAGTATGATGAATTTCGGTGAAACACAATGAAACAGCTGGTCAAACTTAAGAATGACCAAATGAAGTTGCCTGCCCTTCGACGCTGTCGTCCAACAATGTTCAACTGTCAGTGCTGCAGCAAATGGTGCGCACCCTGACTCACCAGGCTTCCTGCACCCAGCTGGACACATCTGGGATGGACAAAACATATCAAATATGACAAACAAATACAAAAAATGCAAAATGAATGGCTGAGTCCGGCGGTGCTGTGCAGCTTCAGCTGTGACGTTCTCAAGGGTTCATATTGATGTTCATATGATGTTCATATGGGTTCACTAATTCATGAATTGTGTCACATCTTCTCGCATTAAATGTCTTGCCTCAAGGTTCTCAATCGATGGTCTGCATCCACATTGATGTACCTGTCATCGTCGCATCAGCATAGCAAATAAGATCAAATAAGAAACATGTGTTTTAATCCATGGCAATCCAAGACTGTAGGGAGTTGTAAATTGTATATAAATTGTATATAAATTGTATATAAATGTAATATAAGGGATTGTTCTTTTTGTTCCAAGAACTGCGAAATGTCCTGATCTCGGCCGTTCGTTGAACCTTGCCAGGTCCACAAACCCAGCAGCCACGTAGCAATGCCCAGGCACGTCCTCAGCAACAGCCGTCCCCAGAGCCTGTCCTTCGTCTCAAGGCTGGGCTCAGCACATCCAATTCATGGGAACCAATAAGTACCTGGAGGCCCGCAGCTATGCGCAGCTATGCGCAGCTCAGCTCGAGCAGCTTGTGATTCCGTGGCAGTTCAGATGTCCAGAAGATGTCCCACCGGATGTCTCACCGGATGTCCCACCGGATGTCCTACGATGTTCTCCGCCTCGTTAAGCTGCGGCATTGGATGTAGCCATTGAGGGCACAAAACCTGTGGACGGTTTCCTACGAATTCTCAATGTTTCTTGCAACAAATTCTCACAAGGCACGCCAGGCTCGATTTCATGTCCAAACTCTGAATCGGCCGTATGTTGCAATATCACGGATGCGGCTTGACTGATTTGTTAGGCTGAGGTGCATCATGGCCATCATCATCACAGGCAAGGAAAACGGCTTGGAGCCTTTCCTCGGTCATTGAAAATGCTTCGAACATGGCATCACTTGCATCCTGCAATTGCGAGGAGAATAAGGCATGCTTAGCATGCTTCAAAACTGAGGATGTGCGATCACAAAAATCCTTGTATTCCTCACAGCTGTGGACATAGGTGTTCCACAAAACAACCTGGTTTCGCGATTCAAATTGGTTACTGTGGGCTCAGTCATACTTTGCAACAACGCAAAATGATCTTCGCCAAGCCACATTCGCAAAGGATAAATGAACGATCGATTGACCTGAGCGGTTCTGAGTTGAAATTCAACCCAGTCGGAGAACAACACTGATCTTTGAGGATCTTCGCCTGCAGCGAAATACTGCCACACATGAAGTTCCTCGACTTGCCCTATGTCTCACTCTTGACAATTTTCAGTGAATTCAGCAGCAAAGTCTCCAGGACCACCAACATAGTGCACCACGAAGCAAAGGAGCACAGCGCAGTTACCAGGACCTTCAGAAATCACTTAGAAGTGCAAGTTTCATCAAAGCAAAGCAACCAGAGCAGCCCAACGCGCTCTGAAACTGCGACATGGACAAGAGGATGACAAAAGGGTTTTCTTTCACGTCGTGTGGTCTGAAGGTCAGATCAATAAAACACAGTAAGAAGTTGATAAAACTGAAACAGAAGAAGAAAGATGAGATAAGACGACAACACATAACAAAAAAACATCAACAATGCTGACAGATCAGCAAGTCGTGCGCACAAACAACCCCAACGGTACATATCACACATGGCAAATACTTTAGTCGAATCTATGGGCAACCTGAGATGCCAACTTCGTGTACAGGCCTAACACGACATGAGCTGAGTGATTCAAAGGAAGTGGAACCTGCTTAAGCAACAAACAGTTGCAATGAAAAAACGAGTTCCTAAAATTTTTCAGTTTGTGGGAGTGGGAAATCCCATTAGATCAGTAGTAGATGACTACTAGATCAGCATGTTAGATCAATTTAGATCCTTAAATTTCAGGTAACTGGAACCACAATGCCGGCCTCGCTGCCAAAGTACCAAGAGAGTCCAGCAGCGACAAGTGTTGGACCTCTGTGCATCGATGTGCATCGTCCCGATTTGTGCCGATTTGTGCCGCATCGTTCATCGTGCCATGGGCAACTGCCATAGACTGCCAGTATGACAAGTGTTGGCGACAAGTGTTGCAAATCTGTTGCACATCTATTGCAAAATGTTGCAAATCTATGTGTTGGCTTCACAATGTGCAACTCGTATAAACTCGTCAATACTGATATTGATCAATTAGAATCAATATGAATCAATTAGATATACTCTATCAATTCTGATTATAGGATTTGCTTTCACGCGGGACGTTGTGGACATGGTACACGTTGGATTCAATTGGATGTCCAAACATTCGAACATGCTCCAGGGCTCCGACTTTCTTGAAGCACCCAGGCCTGTCGGAGCAGTGCGGATGATGAATCTCGCGACAGTTGGCTTACGAAACCGGCAGCTATCGGCAGCTATCGGGCCATCGCCTACTCAAACCTACTTCAACACTGCTCTCGCAGCCAGTCCCTTAATATTCTCGGATAACAAATAACAACAGGCCAAAGACTGATACAACCCGTCTGCTAAGAAAAGAAGATGATGAGTCGACCACTGGCTCTGCTACCTGTTAGCTGTTAGCCACTGGTACTTATCTCATAAGGGCAATGTTTGATCCACAAGGAATAGCAGCTGCAATCAGATAATTCAGATAATCAAACATAATCAAACAATGTCAGGCTACGTAAGGTAAGATAAGTATAGATAAGTATAGATAAGTCATCAGATAAGTCATCAGATAAGTCATCAGGAGCCGGCTTGTTTGCTCGGGACTACGCTTGTGCTACACTACAGTCACTGTCGTCGCCATCGCTGACGGCTCCAAATCGACCCATCCCAACGCGATCTGAGATCTCCGGACCAATTTGGCGTTGACGTTGCAGGATGCCAGGAGTTGCATCAAGGGACCTCAGCCGTGTAAACTGCTCTCGTAAGCACCTCAAATCATGAGTTCAATGGGAATTTCAGGATCCTAGAATGGAGGTACTGTACCATATAAGATAGATAAGATATATAAGGCAATATTTTGTGGGGATATGCCCTTACATAGGCCTCATACTGGCATTATATATGGTAGCTACCTCCGGTTTAGGTTCCTGAAAGCCATTGATGAGTTTCCGAGTTTCCGGGCTACGGATTTCGGAGCCTCGAAGTGGAAACTGTGACACCAAGAAAGAACAGAATGAACAGACAGAACATAAGATTCCGAAACAGCACAGGGATATCCAAATTATCCAAGGATCGGGTCTTCCGTGGAGCCATCAAAAAGATTCAAAAAGTCCGAAGTACCCCAAGTGCATTGATATCTAAATGAGGCGAAACATGCGCTGCATTGGGAGAAGGTGAGAGTCCAAGTCTCCAAGTTGCTTTGAAACTAATAACTAATTACCGTCTACTGTAGCCGCTGCCGGGACGGCATTTTGCCAGGTTATGCCAGGAAACTAATTAACACCGTGTTGATGTCAATATGGTCAATATGTATAGTGCGATATTATATCATAATATTATATTTTGTATATGTTCGTATATTATCGTATATTATCGTATATTTGTATACAGGATTATACGGGCATGTGCAGTGCAATGTGCATGTTCATCATATTAATATTTTGTCCAATGCATGTTTCATCGACCAGCAGTGATCCTACTGGGAGATGATCGGAGGAATTGCCAAAGTGCCTTGATTGTAGCGGCCATATGGTGATGTCACCTGGGCCGTTGCTGGAATTTTTGTGAAACTGCCAACAAATTGGATTGGATTGTGGATGATGTCATTTTCTATTTCTACAATTTCCTTTCATTTCCCATTTCTCGTAGTTTTCTCCTTTTGAATCAGTGACGCACCAGACTGCAATACCACTCTCCTGCTCACACCTCCCCAGGTGCAAGATCTTTTTCTGTGATTCGTTCTTGCAGCCTCCATAGCAAGGGCAAGCGAGAACTGCCGCAGATTACAAATGAGACACCATGAGACACCGGCAAAATCTGTGTTGAAATTTAAGCCACGTGAGGAGATTCGTTGTATGGATAGAGATGATAGAGTTCATGGAACCTTTGAGATTGTTGACTCATCTGTGACTCATCCTCCAAAATATCCAATATATCAATATATGAGTTAATTAACTATGTTTGATTAGTCACACCATGTCACACCAGTCTAATAATGTCCAACAGTCAATCTAATCGATTCTAATCGATTCGAACCGACTCCTCAAATTTTGGCTTTTTATGCTTAAGTTTATTTTTTGCCTTCGCCTTAGCGAGTGGAAAAACTGGCTCCCTCGCTGCTGTCCGCAGCCTGGATGCCATCCCGGTGCTGGGCCCCGCCAGCTCAGCACCAGGCCAAGAACTGGGCAAAGTCTGGCCAGACTGACATCTTCTGAGTAGATATCTCACATATTTTATCATATATGTTCTGCAAATAATTCTATACGTTCTGTTCTTGTTTCATCATATTTTATCTTTTTCATTTTGCATCACTTTGTTCATCCTTCCATGAGAAGTGCATCTGTGTGGTTTCTGGCCTGGCCGACTTTGGAAAGGAAAAACGTGGAAGACTACTGAAGTGGCTTGGTTCGACATTGACTTAGATCGATTCTGATCGATTCTGCGCATAGCTCGCGCACCTTTTGGCAACAAAAATCCAGTCCAAACGCCAATACCTTTGAACGGATCTCTTAACATTTTTGTGCTCGTTCTTTGGCATCAAACTATGTCATCCTGGTCAACTTAGAACGGGCATTGATGCAATGCATCATCTGGTTAGGCCTGGGTTGTCTTTGAACCCGGTGATAAAGAGGTGAAACGGGCAACCGCTGGCATTCTGGAAACTTCTAGGGCACCTGCCAACCCACCATCTAGATACACAATTTGTAGATGTTCATGACGTCCGGCTACAGTCTTTGCACTGTTGACTCTGCCTTTCAGTTGCATTCTTGTTCAATTGCATGCAACATTTGGAATACGCTTGGATCACATCATAGATTTGATCATGTTTTGCTGATTTACATTCATTTGCATTTATCTTCGATTCATATTCAATCGTCTGTCAATTCACGTACAACATCCTTTACCATCATCTGGCCAATGGTTTCCGTGCAGGAGAACCAGTTGTTTCCATCCCCAGGGAGCGTCAGAGCGTCAGATTTCGATCGTACCCTGTGCTGATGATGAGGCTGGACGTCCAAACATGCCTCAGGTCATATCGATCATATCCCCACAGATCTCCACGGATCTCCACGGATCTCCATCTTGGAACAAACGGAACACACGGAACAAATGGATCAGAGATTATCAGAGATTATCAGAGATTATCAGAGATGCTCAGAGCTTTGAGAGGTGAAACTTTTCTCAATGCTTTTTGCAGCGCACCACACCTGTCATTGACACTCTGTGGTCTTTAGAAACAAATCCAAAGGTATCATGGTTTAAGGAGCAGTTGCAACCTAGTAAGAAATGAAACATGATTATTTCATGTTGTTTTGAGAGTATGGGAAGCAATTCTTAAGTCGCATGAATTCGAAAGAAGTCGCAAGGCGTGACTCCAAAAACGAAGTCCAAGCGAAGTCCAAGTTGTCCAAGTTGTCCAAGTTGTCCAAGTCACCAGTCCGTAACCAATCGCTTGCCACGGACCAACGATTTCGGCTCGAGAAGAGTTTGCCTGGGGCGTCTTGATTGAGATTGCATTGATGTTCACACAACCCAAAAAAGAGGGAGTGGATAAACTATGATAAACTCTATCTCACACACACAATGCAATTTTGTGTTCCAAATCTTTGTGGGGTCAAAAATCATAGATAGCACCAGACTCGCACCTGCTCTATTTTGCGTTTGTTGTGCAATAAAAATGGTCAGGGGTCAAGGCATGCCACGCATCGTTTTTTGAGGCCGTAACTATGACTATCCACTCTATCCAAGACATCCATGATGTCCAAAAACAAAACACCATCAAAACACCATCAAAAACCAATAAACATCAATAAACACACTTTGACCGTTGATGACATTTCAGGACATAAAGAGTTAGGACATGTTGGGACGAACGCATTGTCCACATGTGCCACGTGCCACGTGTGCCACGCCGAATCCAACTGCAAGGAGCTAAAATAAGTGGAACGCCACACCACGAAGCCCGCAGGTCCCATGACCCGAAGTTGATCCTGCGGAAATCTGAAAGAAACATCAAGAAACATCAAGAAACTGTCCTGTGACAATCACTGTGACAAAAAATACAAAAAATGATGACATGTCAGGATATGAACAGAGCTGAACCACTGCCCCTTGTTCCTGATTTAGACTGCAACTTTCTAGTCTCATTACGGATTCCTGTGGCTGTTTTATCCATCCAAATTTGATATTTCTCTTTATTTGAGAGGCTCAGTCTGAATGTGCCAGTTGAGACATTTATTCTCTCATGAATTAACGTAGTGCCAGTTGAGACATGAATTCTCTCATCTTCTCACACCACACATGTGCAGGAAGCCGTGGTTCCGTGTCGCCATAGAGGGAACGCCACCAGAAGTGATCCGTGACTGAGGATCGGCCTAACCTTGGTGGCGTAAGTTCCATTGCAATTCGATAGAAGAGAGCTTGAATTGGATCGACAAAATTGCAAGAAGTTTGTGTCAAATTGTCCTACGGAAATTCTTGTCAATGGTACTGCTACTTTTCTACATAAGTTCTCTTACAGTAGATGTCTGATGTCCCCTGTGTTTCCAGAGCCTGTGCTTTGCCATTTGAAAATGTTTGTTAACCTGCTTGATTAATTAATCTTGATTCTATGTATATATATAATTATATACTTATATATATAATATTATACGCATTATACGCACTTCGAAGCAAGTTTCACCAAGTCATGACTTCTCATTTCAAAGCCTTTTTCGCTTGAAAGGACTTTCGACACGCACTTTGCGAAGTAAGCTGGACACAGTTTCAAACATCCCTATGTCGTGTATATACCACTATGCGATATCATGTAATAATGTATCACTGTATCACAGTGCGAAATACTTGTTTGACAGTTATGGCTGTTATGGTGGGGGGACATCGCAAGACTTTGGCTCAGCATGGCTCAGCTCAGCTCATGACTTGATGAACGCGTTGGGATCTATCTCTGCAGCACCCGCTGAGTCACCGATGTAGGCCATGGTGCCCTGGTGACCTGAACAGCATTGAACTTTACTTCTCATATCTTCTCATATCTTCTCATTCAAGATAGTCATTTCATGTCATGTCACGTAACAATATGATACACATTGATACACTATGATAGATAATGTCAAAAACATGTGTATCAATGTGTTTCAATGTGTATCAATGTATTAAAAAATGCAGAGTAAGATAAGATTGATAAATTGTTTAAGATATGATAAGATGATAATTAAGATAGTTCCACAGATTCCGACCCCTACAGTCGAATAGTTGGGAGCTGGAGCACAGGGGAGGGCCAGCGCCCTTTAATTTCAGGCGAATGTCGTAGCCGTGACTTTGGAGGCGGAAAGTCCCGTTGTCTAACAGTGATTGGACCCATTGGACTTGTCAAACAAAACACGTGCCGCGTCCACGTTGTCTATGTATATTTATGTATTATGTGATTTTGGATCAGTCTGTCTGCATTGTCCTAGATTCCTAGAATTTCCTAGATTCTTCTAGTAATTTCTTCCGGCTGTCCTGAGTCCAACAACGGTTCCAGCGACAATGTCTGGGCTCCCCGCAATATTTGAAGGGCGCAGCTTGGGGATCTGAGATCTGATACTCCCTTCCGAGGCGGAACATTCGCCCCAAATACTTGCCTCCAGCGATGCGCTCGCTGAAAAATGGCTTTACAACAAGCAAAGCTGAAGAAACGGCGAGAAATGGAAAACAAGAACGTAGCAAAACCGTGCAAAACCAATAGAAATTGCTGAAATCATGTAGGATGAAGGTGGAGTGAAGCATTGTGGAACCTACTGGAATGGATAGTATAGGTAATATATGGTAATATAGATAGTGTAGGTATGTGTAGGTAGTAGTAATAGGATGGTAAATACAAGCGAAGCCCTAAGCGAAGCTGGGCCTTGTTGGTACGCCACCTGGGCCGTTGGAGGCTTACCACTCACAGCACAGTCGCCAATGGCAAAGACCTCAGCAGGTTTCCACTGCGGTTTCTGCGAGCACCAGGCCAGGCGTGACAAATTTGACATTTTACGATAAGGGAAATTATGGTAAATTAATATAAGTCATATACAGTATATATATAAGATTATATAAGTCTTCATATGTCTTAATTCATTTTAACTTTTTGTTCTGATTTATTTTCAGCTTAAGGTTTTGGACAATTCGATACTAGCTAATAAGGTGCAACAGCTATTTGGCTTATCTCAAGAAAGCAGTCTTTTAATGTCAGATTACTTCCATCATCTTCCATCTTCAATCAGCTCTGCTGCCTCCTGGGGTTCGATTTTGCATCCATGATTCTTTTTGGCCAACCCTTACATCTTCTGAAAATTCCGGATCATTTCAATTCCATTTCACGTCCTTTTTTGTTGCAGGGAGCAGAAAACCAGCTGCTTTCTGTTTCTGAGTTAAACACCTCACCGGGTCGTGTACCCTTGACCCGAAGACACTCATCCACCACCAACCTGGTACTCAGTGTATCCCGTTGTACCCGTTGTGCCCATGTGTGATGTCAATGTTTGCCACAACAGAAAGGTAGATGGTTTCAATTTCAACAGGAGTCAGGAGCATTGAACAAACTCGCCACGGTACGTGAGTGCTACGTGACTGTTCCTCTGAAAGCAAGCCGGAAGTACCCGCGTCGATCGGTCTGCCCGTTCTCCTGGCATTTGGAGGAGATGCGATGAGATGTGTGGAGTCAGAAGGAGTCAGATTATGGCTGATTATGGCTGATTGTTTTTGTTTGTTTGTGAGATTTTGTGAGTCTGTGATTCTATGATTTCGGATCTGGAACTGTTCTTTGGACAAGGTGCACCCACGCCTTGCCAATCTTCTCGCAGAGGGCACGAGTGAAGGGCCTCATGCCAACACCAGCCACCCAAACCAAAACGCCAAAGTCCATGTCCACCAGTCCTTCCTGGCACAGCGACACGGCAGCTGACTCTTCGACATATTCTGCCGACATGTATGAAATGGCTATCTGCTATCTATGTGCAGAGTCATAGACATAAGCTATGAGAGTGTTCACAAAGAGATATCATAAAATTAAAATATCATGAACTCATGACAATTCATGCAGCATGCAAGTTCAAGTACTGTATGTTTCTATGACTCTATGATGCCGTATACATTTCATCATTGTTCATGCCGAGGTTTCGCCAAATTTCAGGAACCACCAGAGTCATCACATCAACGTATCAGGTCAAAACCAAGTCGTTGTATCATTATATCATATATATATAATATATATATATCATATTATATCCACCACCATGTTTACCACCATGTTCTATCATGTGACATCATGTCCGGTGGTCAGGATGATCTGGATGTGGATGGATGTGGATGGATGTGGTGTGGTATCTCCATGTATCTCCTGTGTCTTCAAATGGACCTTCTCTGGCTCCACTTCCTTCACCATGGCGTTCCTGGAGAACAGCACTGGCAATTCGGGCAGCCCACCACGCTTTCCCCCACTTCAACACGACTTGTTCAAAATTGTTTCAGGCTGTTTCAGTTATTTTGAATAATTTTGAAAGATGGGTCATGAATCAAAATATGTCAAAATTATGAACCACCAGAATGGATGGCTTCATTGGTTTCATGGTAGTGTTTCATGTCAAAATATATAAACATATGTGAAAATTCCGTGTAGATCTATTGGGGCCGCCAATTTGGACTACCATCCCATACCGGTCCCATAGCTGCCATAGCTATCTCTCAAATTTTCTCAATTCATCTCTTTTACAAGTCGAAATCAAATGAATTGAGAAGCCGAGTGGCAACTTGATTTCGACACCTTGATTCTTCAGGTGATCTTGAACATACAGTCCTTGGTCGAAATCACAACGAAGCGCATTCAAAAGCATTTTTCTGAGTATTGAAGGGTGATCCTCAAGTTTGGCGAAAGATGTGAAAAGTCTGTGCACGCCAAGCTGCCAACAGATTTGTTGAACCTCGGACAAAGCACCACATTGTGGACATGCTAATGCTCAACATCACAATGAACGTAAAAACATACCATCTCATGCGACTATCCAAGCATCACAGTCACAACATGTTGCCCAACATGTTGGATTCCAGCAACAGCATGTGTCATTCCTATTCACGATCGCAGTCATTGGCCCCCCCATGTTGCCAGTGTTCTTACACGAAAATTATTGTTCGATTGTTTGCACTCACTAAGTCCTACGGTCTATAGATCACTAAGTCTTTGGAGATAAGAAACATGGTCAGTAGACCAGGAAGTGCTTCCACCAGAGTCACTTGAAAATATTCTGCGATCTTTGGATAGCGACCTCAGCTTCACCATGCCTGCCACATCCTGCCACATCCTGCCACTTTAATATCTTCAGTGTGCTACAAAGTGCTGCAACGGCTTCCATGATCTCAGCGAAATGACATGGAAACGACAAAGTAAAAATGAGAAACATGATGAAATATGCATCAGTTTGCCAGAAATCATTCCGACCTGTACTCAAAAATCTAAAGAAATCCAAAGAAATCTAAAGGGCTTGCTGTAAACGAGACCATGTCAAAGGACTGCTTCATTGAATGCTCCAAAGACATCTGAAGAAACCATCTCAAAGAAACAGGCATCTGAAGGAAACATCTGAAGGAACACAAAGTGGCTTTGCAACTGCTTCATGATACTTTTTGCATGGTTTTTGTCATTTCGCTGCCAAGGCTGGGTCAATCCATAGCCAATTTTGAGCAACACAATTTTGAATGCAATTTTGTTTGAATGCAACAAGCGAAATATAGCGAAATAATCTACCTCCGAGGAACGCTTCAAATCCTGTCTGATGAAGTCGGAAAGCTCACCGCAAAATTCTACTCCTGTGGGTCCTCCGCCCACCACCACAAAGTTCAACAGCTGCTTCACCTGCTACGAATCTGATAACTCACTGATAACTGACACCAACATGATTTGACTTTGATATGCAAAAGCCTTCCAAAACCAACCAAAGTTGCTTTGCATCTCTTTCCATGGAGTTATTTGATGGTATTCGAAAACTTTGGAGGACTGCAGACTGATCACGTCCCTCGCTCCATGACAGCCACTGTGGCTTTCTATTCAACACATACCACCAGATTCTCGGACCTTCTTTGACGGAAATGTCTCTGTCTCTGAACTGATGAGACCACCTGAAAACATCCTGAAACCTGTTACTCCCTTTACATATCTTTACATTGCATACTTTTCTCATCATCTTCTTAGTTAGTTTTGGATGTTTTGGTTTCTTATGGTTTCTTCTTTCGTCTCCGCATTTCGTCCATGGTGGCAGTGGCCACCCGAAATGTGAGCCCCCTGTGGATGGCCTTGTTGATTTCTCCGTTGGCATTGGCCACTTCGGCACGTTCGATGATGTCCAACATCTCCTAACCAGCATGGATAGCATGGTGATGCAGGGTGCATGGTGAACCAGACAGCAATTTGTAGATGCACCCAATTCAATCAGTGAGTTGTTCGATTCTTTCGGCTTTTGATGTCTTGGATGAAACATACCTAACTGGTCAGAACCTTGGAGAGGAATTCACCTGACCCATTTGAGCCATCTGTATGCTCACTTTGGACAGTGATGCTGGGATGCTCAAGACTCAAATTGTCATCATTTTCAGCCTCAGCATGCTTCGGCCAACAAGACCTACAGACTAGGAACTCCAAAGAGTCTGTAACGTCAAGCAAGCAAAAAGGAACATCTTCCCACCGCTGCTGAAAGATCCACCCGCATGAGCGGAATATGGAAGCACTTCAGCATAATGTGACATAATGTATCATAATGTGACATAATGTGACATTGTTAGAAGGTGCTTTGTGGTGCTAACAATTTTCAACACCTGAAGTGCTTTCAGTATCTTTCAGTATCTTAAGTATTTTTCACCTTTCGACACTTTCGAACGAAAAAAATTGAACCTGATTGAAGCTGGCCGTCCTTGCGCAGCTGTCGTCCATGCTCAATCTCCTTGAGGAACCTGCGGTGCATCTGCGGTGCATCTGCGCTGCGCTATGCTGCGCTAGCCATGCGGCCACGTGCACCGCGTGCACTTTGAGTTTTGCATTTTGAGCTTCGCAGAGTCAAATGCTTCCAGTCTCGGACCAATTTTTTGCACTCCAAACATCACAGGAAAGGTCAAATTTCGAAGTCAAAAAGGGGGAATTTCTGGAAAATTGATTGAAATTGAAGTTCCAAAGCTGTCTCGTCTGAAACACATCGGAACTATCCCAGCCTGCCATACTTATCAACTCCAGGGATTCCGAAAGTGTTCGGCTGCGCACCGACCTTGAATAGTTTTGAATAAATTTTTCCATGTTTCTCTCAATTTTTAAACTAAATGATACTAGTATAGGAACATCTAAGAACAATGGAACATATAGAACAACAAAAACTCAAAATTCATAGTTTTCGACTGGCCTTCGACTGGCCTTCGACTTCATTGCTGTCAGTGCTCCGCGTTGACACACGCTGAAACTCTCACGAAACTGTCACGAGACTGTCACGAGACCGTCACTCCACTTCCGAAAAACAAGGGCCCGGCAGCCACCAGCAGGTGGTCGTAGTCCAACTCAAGATCGCCATCACAGAAAACCTGTCCAATATTGTCCAATTTCAATCCTGAAATGCCCCGAGCCAAACTACTCACAACATATCACAGCACAAAGCATCGGATGAGACACGACGCAAACGTTGATGATGGTGATGCCTTCTTGTTCTCTAAGTCGACATCCTGCGAAACAAGACTACAAGAAACTCAAGGAGCGTCATCTCAAGTGACGAAAACAAGGGGTTGTTTCTTTGCTATCTGGACACTTCAGGCTTCTATCAGTTCCAGTGCTGCCAGATTCCTAGACTCTAGACGTTTCAAACATGTTCAAATCATGTGTGCGTTTTTCTTTCTGCAGTTCCTTGCAGTGCACCCGCAAGAAGTCGCAGTTGGGAACGTTGTCGCGAATGGGCTCGATGATGGCACCTGGCAGTGTTTCTAACTGGCGTCATAAACTGCATCACTTGAAAATTGGGGAACGAAAACCAGTCATAATGAAAACCCTTGCACGCAGCAAATTGCCTGCGTGTAAGACCTTCAACATTGAAATCCTCCAGTTGTAACGTAGCCCTAACTGCACAGAAAGTTTTGAGGCAGACACCTTGAAACTCTGTTGGTGACTTACGTATCTTCAGTCTCTCGAACAATTTATTTTTTCTCCATCTATTTGTTTCACTGCTAGAAACGGGACTGAGGGGGAACCGATACCCTATTGCAGCAAACTTCCTGCGCGTAACACCTTCAAAACTGGAGTTCTTCTGTTGGAGCAAGCCCGTAAGCATCACGACTGAGAGCATTAAATTTCCTGCGCAGAACACCTTCAAAGTTGGACTTCTCCAGTTGCAGCAAACCCGAAAGCATCACGACTGCGCGTACTCCAGCGGTCGCCTTCCTAAGACTTTGTTGGTCAGCTACGTATCTCTAGTCTCTTAACCAAAATATCTCGCTCTATCGATTTCTCTGACTGGCTACCTAGCCCACCCACGAAAACCCAGACCGAGGGGGAATCCATGCCCTACCGCAGCCAATTTCCAGCGCATAACACCTTCAAAATTGGAGCTCTTAAAAGGAATGCGCCGTTCTTGGCTTAACATAAGCTCAACATGGCTCAAAAATGGCCCCAACATAGCCTCCAAGAGCCCCGCATGGATCAACATAGGCCCAACATAGGCTCCATATACACCCAACATGGTCCCGACATGATCCAAAAACGGCCTGTTCCTTTGGGCCGGGTAAAGGCTAAAGCGGAACGCGCCGTTCTTGGCTTAACATAAGCTCAGCATGGCTCGACTATTGCCCCAACATAGCCTCCAAGAGCCCCGCATGGATCAACATAGGCCCAACATAGGCTCCATATACACCCAACATGGTCCCGACATGATCCAAAAACGGCCTGTTCCTTTGGGCCGGGTAAAGGCTAAAGCGGAACGCGCCGTTCTTGGCTTAACATAAGCTCAGCATGGCTCGACTATTGCCCCAACATAGCCTCCAAGAGCCCCGCATGGATCAACATAGGCCCAACATAGGCTCCATATACACCCAACATGGTCCCGACATGATCCAAAAACGGCCTGTTCCTTTGGGCCGGGTAAAGGCTAAAGCGGAACGCGCCGTTCTTGGCTTAACATAAGCTCAGCATGGCTCGAATATTGCCCCAACATAGCCTCCAAGAGCCCCGCATGGATCAACATAGGCCCAACATCGGCTCCATATACACACATTGTGGTCCCGACATGATCCAAAAACGACGTGTTCCTTTTGGGCCGGGTAAAGGCTTAAAAGGAACACGCCGTTCTTGGCTTTACATAAGCTAACATGGCAGGTCGAAAAACTAAAGGTTGTAAAGTTGCCAAGCTGTGATGATGCAATCATTTGACGTGCAGATGCTGCAAAGTAAAGATTTCTATCGGCTTAAAAATTGCCCCAACATGGCGCCTAAGGGCCCAACATGGACCAACATAAGCCTAACATAGGTCCCACATAGGCCTGACACGGCTTAACATAACCGTGATCTAAACATGCAGACTCTAGATTTGGTTCTTGGTATCTGCTTCCATATCCATTGGTACGCCGCACGACAATAGCATTCTGTACTTCACAAAAGTATCTGCCACGGCCCATTTATTTTTCCACGATCCCAGATGATCCGAGCTGTATCAACGTGTATCGTCAGAAACAGATGACGTGACGGTCCACGCTATGCAAAAGATATCGCATGTGACATTGACACTATTCCACAGCAGAGCTCCCAAAGGCCAAAAGGGAAGGCCCTGCTCTGTTACAGCTTTGTTAAACTGTAATCTTTTTCTTGACAAAATATGAAATCTGTTAAGCATGCGTTCTTCAAGGCCGGCTTTGATTCTGCCGCTTCTCCTTAGCAGTACATCTGTCACGCTCGTTGTTCTCACCATATCCACACGCCTTTAACCACTTGTCCATGGCACATCTCACATCTAGCTCTCTAGCTGTCATCCGCTTGTAGCCAAAGACAGTTGACGTGACGGTCCACGTTCAGCAAACCACATCGCATTCGCCGCTGTCTCTTAAAGCGCGGCCTGGATAGTAGCCGCCCGTCTCTACGGTCCCTTCTCCCACTCGAAGCCCACAAGCATAACTACCAACTGCCAGCGCAAACACACAAGTCTCTCCAGCAGAAGGAACGGCATAGCTCTATGTCAGCTTGACATTGAAGCTTGCTGCCAACAAAGTTCTTTGCCCTCTGTCCATCTATCTATCTATCTATCTATCCATCCATCTTTCTATCTATTTATCTATCAATCTGTCCAGCCTTCCGTCAATCCATCCATGTACCAGTAGTACCACACAAGGCGGTGGCGGAAGTTTCAAAAATAGTAAACCTATAGGAGAGGTTGGTTGTTGTGAATCACGGATGGCAGAGCGAATCCACTGATGGACCGAAAGGTGGTTGGAGTTGTGTTTTCTGGAGTGGCTGCAATGTTTGCAGTGGTCACCTCACCGCAACTGCTGGATGTAGTGTGGTGTAGCGCAGTTGTAGTTGTAGTTTTAAGTTGTAGCTGTAAAGTAGTGTAATTAATTAGTGTAGTGTAGTTGCAGTTGCAGTTGTAGTTGTGGTGTGGTGTAAATAGTGTAGTGTATTGTAGTGTACTGTAGTGTTGTGTACTGTAGTGTTGTGTACTGTAGTGTTCTGTACTGTAGCGTGGTATAGTGTAGTGTAGCCTAGTGTATTGTAGTGTAAAGTAGTGTAGTTGCAGTTGTAGTGAAGTGTCGTGTAGTGCAATGTAGTGGTAGTTGCAGTTGTAGCGTAATGTAATGTAATTAGTGTAGCGTAGTGTTGTGTAACGTGGTGTAGTTGTAGTTGTAGTTGTAACTTGTAACTGTAATGTACTGCGGTTTAATTAGTAATTATATTATGTATATTGTAGTGTAATGTAGTGTAGCTGTAATTGTAATTGTAGTTGTAGCTGTAGCTGTGGTGGTAGTGGTGGTGGTAGTGGTGGTGGTAGTGGTGGTGGTGGTGGTAGTAGTAGTAGTTGTTGTTGTTGCTGTTGTAGTAGTTGCTGTTGTAGTAGTTGTAGTGTAGCGTAATTAGACGTAATTAGTGTAGCATAGTGTAATTAGTATTGTGTAATGTAGCCTAGAATATTTGTAATTGTAGTTGTAGTAGCAGTGTAGTGTAGTGGTACTTGTAGTTGTAGTTGCAGTTGTAGTTGTCTCTCTATCTATCTGTCTATCTGCAAGCTTGAACTGAGGCTTGAAAAACGAGCCCGTACGGCAACACCTCCCCCCAGACCCCCAATCTCTCACTTTGTTCGCAAAAAAACAACTAACCAGCTTGTCCGGCTGGTTTTCGTAATTAAAAGCAACTAAAGTAAATATACCAAATATTCATAAATATTCCAAGTGGTTCAAATATGTTCAGATTGACTCAGCTTTCAATGACCTGCTGTTGGAATTCCATGGACTACGTACTGTCGCGGCTGAACAGCTTGTGCACACAGCATGAGGATTGCTCAGGTTCCCACCGGGTGATACGACTCCAGTGGTGCTCCCTACAAGCAGCGGTGTGTAGAAAAAGAAAGGTCGAGGCGACACCACTGTGACCTCGAGCCCACGTGGAGTGAAGCGCAGAGTCATTGACACAGGATGACAAAGGACCAGCATGGACCAGCATGGACCAGCATGGATCAGCATGGATCAGCATAGCTTCCACCACAATCTACGAAGAAATGAACTGAGCCAATGCTTTTAGCTTGGTCATGTTTATGGACCGAAGTCCAAGGTAAGAGAACAGGGCATGGCGAAGGTGGACGGTGTAGACATGTTCATTGTGATGCCAAACATTAAATGTGTGTTTGCTTTGTGGAACTACAGCCATTCTTTGATGGAAAAATACATATCTAATCTTTAATGGTCGTTACCAAGTGCGACATTTTGAAAAGTAGAGGGACATATCCATCGGCATTGGAGAGTGATTTGGTGAGCCGGACCCATCTGCTAGAGTTCAGTTTTGTCTGGAAATACAAACAATATCAAACAATCACAACACGATATATTTTGATGCACAAAAATGCAAACCAAGGCACCGCAAGAGTATCACTAATCAACAATTCTTCTATGGTATATGTACATGTGTACTTACTTATACATACATATATTATATGTCTGCTTTCACTTTCTCCTTTGTACGCGCGAAAAACTCCTACACAAAAGAATCAACATATGATACAAAACGGAGCACACATGGAAGCACATCTAGTATGCACGTATGCAACCATACTAACCATACTATGTGAATGTGTAACTGTGTAACCATGTAAAATGTATATCCACATGTAACCACGCGTAACCACGCACAACCACGCGCAAATTGATGTAATTTGTCTGACTTCCAAGTGGCATCAAAGGCCGAAGGATCGAGCTTACGAACGAAGGAGAGCGCTCCCCAACCGGAGCCCAAGACGACCACTTTCCTTCGTTCGCAATGGGAGCTTTGACGGCTGCAAATTGAAGCAAAGTTTGACGAAAACTTTCTGGATGTTGTGCATCTTGATGCATCTTGTCCTGGTTGAATTTAGCTGGTGCAGATTACATTTGGTGCAACATTTGTCGTCCAAATGCCTGCCCAATGAGCCAAAGGTCTTCTTCTCTTGCTCTTTTCTGGCAAAGTGGTAGAAGAGACGGTCAAATTCGTACCTGTCAAAACAGACGTGCATAAACAAACACATACATACTTGATAATCATACTATCTGAATGTACACATATCATAATTCAAAAATGGGGAGCGCACCACTAGGCATGTACAAGAATGCAAACATGTTTGATAAGATCTGAAATGACAGGATCTGAGTGTTCATTCCTCCATATTTGATGACATCATGATACATCATGATACATCATGCTACATTATGCTACATTATGTTCATTAATGTTATTTTGTAAGTACACCTGCTGTTGCGGAATGACACGTCTGGCCAAGTGAACTGCTTGCTGCTTGCAGTTTCGATGTGGATACCTTGTGCTGGGCACTTGATGTCGTCAAGATCGTCATTGATCCACATGTGGCCAAGCTTCACCTTGGTGTGCAGAGTTTCTTCCATTTCTTTCCAAGGTGAATCGGCAAGGTGACATGACATGTGACATGTGACAGGTCCCGGGTTCCACCATTGTTCCACCATTGTTCCACCTGGTGGCGTCACCTCGTTCTAATTCGGTTCACCCCTCGTTCCGCACCGGACATCTTAGGCCCACACGCCAAGCAGGGCTGTCCCTCCGACAGCTCCGAGGCGCAGGGTCCTGCACAGAGTGCTTGCAGTGCCTGCAGTGCCTGCAGTGCCTTCTCTTTTCGAATTTTGAATTTGAAATTCGAGCCGGAAAATCCCGATTTCAAAAAACTTGAATCTTGAATCTTTGCAGCCAGCTTGTTTCACAGAATCTCTCTGTTGGCTTCTGAATCCAAGCCCACACTTCCAAAGACATAAAACATGTGTGTGTGTCTCTCTCTCTCTCTTTCTGTGTTTCTTGCCCCCATTTGCATCCATTTGGTCTGTCTGTTATATATATATATTTGTCTCCCGCACTTCAATTTGAGTCAACTGCATCAACCTGCAATTTTTTGTGTCGTGCCTCCGCGCGACGCGTCGAAGCATCTTCGCGTGTATGTTCTGCTGGATCTGCTGATATTCACCGTCTGCTGTGAGCCCAAAGCATCCTAATTTTCATATATTTTAGCCCCAAGAATGTCGACATCAAGGAGACGCCAAGTGCAGCACCCAGTGCGGTACCAAGGCAAGCAACAGAGGTGGACACCAAGAGATTGAAGTTGCAAGATAATTGTAGCAAACAACCAGACACTACTGTACAGTATAGTCACTATAGTCGCTGGAAGTCATCTGAAATTGCTGCTATGAACACTAATACAAACAAATCACAACCCAACGTTTCCCTCAGCATCAAACTCCACAGGACAACGCGAGTGCAGCCAGTACAAAGCTTCCGTTCAGGGCCTGAGCACAGAGATTCCAAGGATCAAATCCAAAAAAACTAAGCATGCCTTAACCTCCAAAAGATTCTGTGATGTCACTTGCTGCCCAAATATGCAAAGGTCGCAAAAGGGTCCAATAAATGCGGTCCTTTTGTTTTGTCACATCAAGCTGCCATTTATTGCAGACAGTAGTCTACGTAGAATTCCTTTGTCAGCAGCTGCTTAGTGTGATCTCGTCCTAGCTTGTACAGTACATCACAGCTCGTGAAAGCCTGAACGGAGCTTCCTATGTACCTTGTCTTGGAAGACTGATGCTTTGCCACACTATGTACCAGCTGTAAGCACAGCGGAGAATGGATTTGTAGTCAAATTTATAGCATACACATATATAATATATATAAACACATATATGTGTGAGAATTACAGAGACATGTACGTAACGCGAATTCATAACACGTATATAAGTTATATAAGTCGAAATATCTAACCGCTGTTGACGTGACCGCTACGACTAAAATGACTAAGAACGCGACAGTGCAAATCCAAAAAATTGTCTTCTCCTTGAGAGCCCAAACCAGCAAATTGCTATCTAATCAGTAGTAAGAAGTTGCATTTCTCGGGGTTGTTGTGTTTGCATAAATTGGTCACCGTGCCCCCCTCCCACAAACAAATACCAGGAAATTCGATGGCCAAAAAATGGAAACCTTTAGGTATGCAAAGGCAACTAATCACTGGTAAGGGGTTACACTGGGACATACTGGGACACACTGGGTTACACGTAACACAGATTGAGATTTACTGAATGGTTTCAACCGTGCCCAAAGGAGAGGCAAGGATGTGTCCTCAAAACTGCCGGTGTGCCATTGGAAAGAAGGCAGCAATTCCATGGGGTTTCCTATTTCTGAGTGCTGAACGTCTGGTTTAGAGTTTCGAGTTTCAGGAAATTCTTTGGACCACATAAGATATATGTAAGAAACACCCCGACATAGTTTATATAATGCCCACATGGAAATAGTTTCCCCCGCATGGTCGTGTGACTTGTGTGGTTTGATGCTCTACGTGACATAGATGATGGTTCCCTCCGTAACTGTCCAAATATCAAGCTGTGATTGATGCAACTCTTGACACTGATTATCATTGACGAGAGTGATGCAGATTTAGCTCTTTTATCGATCTCACCACATTCAATCATTAGATGCTGACATTCTTGAGCCAAGCTTTGCGCAAAAACAGCAGGACAGCACTTGAAACCACAACGCAAAGAAGCTTTGAGCTTCCGATTAGCTCAAATTCAGATCATGGTGCCTGTTAACCATCACTGTAGCTGTCTATCTACGTATGTATATACATATATATATATCTCTCTCTTTATAAATATTCAATACTATATAAGACTATATATATATAAACTACATATCTATATCATGCATACATATGTACATATAAAAGTATTCTATGTCCTCCTCATCCTACTACAACTACTACCACAACAACTACTACAACTACTACTGCTACTACTACAACATACTACAACTACTACTACAACTACTACTAACTACTACCAACTACTACTAACTACTACTATCTAACTACTACCAACAACAACTACTACTGTTACTATTACTATTGTATACTATATATGTAAACATTTAGTTTCCATCTGTCAAGAGGTTTCCCCAGTTTTGATGCGCGAGTGGCGGATCGAATGCGGCAGCGCGCAGCGGCTCAAAGCTTCAGGGCAACCTGTGACGGTCCAACGTGGAGGCGTATGAGGCGTACTGGATCCCCTTTGATATGGGTCAACACAGGTCAGCAGTTGGTCAACAGTTGGTCAACAGTTGGTCAACAGTTGGTCAACAGTTGGTCAACAGTTGGTCAACAGTTGGCCAACAGTTGGCCAACAGTTGGTCAACAGCTGGCCAACAGTTGGCCAACAGTTGGCCAACAGTTGGTGAACAGTTGGTCAACAGTTGGTCAACAGTTGGTCAACAGTTGGTCAACAGTTGGTCAACAGTTGGTCAACAGTTGGTCAACAGTTGGTCAACAGTTGGTCAACAGTTGGTCAACAGTTGGTCAACAGTTGGTCAACAGTTGGTCAACAGTTGGTCAACAATTGGTCAACAGTTGGTCAACAGTTGGTCAACAGTTGGTCAACAGTTGGTCAACAGTTGGTCAACAGTTGGTCAACAGTTGGTCAACAGTTGGTCAACAGTTGGTCAACAGTTGGTCAACAGTTGGTCAACAGTTGGTCAACAGTCGGTCAACAGTTGGTCAACAGTTGGTAAACAGTTGGTCAACAGTTGGTCAACAGTTGGTCAACAGTTGGTCAACAGTTGGTCAACAGTTGGTCAACAGTTGGTCAACAGTTGGTCAACAGTTGGTCAACAGTTGGCCAACAGGTGGCCAACAGGTGGCCAACAGGTGGCCAACAGGTGGCCAACAGCTGGCCAACAGCTGGCCAACAGCTGGCCAACAGCTGGCCAACAGTTGGCCAACAGTTGGCCAACAGTTGGGCAACAGTTGGCCAACAGTTGGTCAACACTTGGTCAACACTTGGTCAACACTTGGTCAACACTTGGTCAACACTTGGTCAGCACTTCGTCAAAAGTTGGTCAACACTTGGTCAACACTTGGTCAACACTTGGTCAACACTTGGTCAACACTTCGTCAACAGTTGGTCAACAGTTGGTCAACAGTTGGTCAACAGTTGGTCAACAGTTGGTCAACAGTTGGTCAACAGTTGGTCAACAGTTGGTCAGCAGTTGGTCAACAGTTGGTCAACAGTTGGTCAACAGTTGGTCAACAGTTGGTCAACAGTTGGTCAACAGTTGGTCAACAGTTGGTCAACAGTTGGTCAACAGTTGGTCAACAGTTGGCCAACAGTTGTTCAACAGCTGGCCAACAGTTGGCCAACAGTTGGCCAACAGTTGGCCAACAGTTGGTCAACAGTTGGTCAGCAGTTGGTCAACACTTGGTCAACACTTGGTCAACACTTGGTCAACAGTTGGTCAACAGTTGGTCAACAGTTGGTCAACAGTTGGTCAACAGTTGGTCAACACGCAATTCTGCTATGATCATGTTCCAGATTCTTCCTACACCAATCGACAAGGACAATATCAACCGACAAGAATTTAGTGTTTTGAGTTTGTGTTACTGCGTGTTACCACATATGCACGATTCAATTGCTCGGGTCAAGACAAATTTGGAGTTCCACTTGGAAAATTGGATTCCTTTCACAGACCTTCACGATCTCCCACCAAAACTAAATTGCGAGATTCTAGACGTGCCTGTTCTACAGTGTCCAGGTATGCTTTCGACCAGTTTTCAACAGTCTCTCGGTACCTTCCAGCACTATTCATTGGGATTCGGATAGATGCGACACAATGTGACATGATGCAACCACAATATGTGTGCCATGATGTGAGATCATGGACTGACTCAATGTGACCAAACAGCAATCTAGACAGATCCATGATCTAGACAGATCTAGACAGCAAGAACACTGAGCGTGTCACTTCTCCTCAGTGTCTGGATTGAACCTGCACCAACTCGCATATCTCGCGTTGTAACATTGATGTCATTTTTTGTGTAATTCGGTCTCATTCTAGGCACTGTCAGGACTGTCAGGTGTGATCTGGCTGTCTCTCACCTAAAGCGACTGCAAATTTCTTGTTCTGCATCTATTCAACTCATTTCAACTCTGCAATCTGTTTCCAGTATGCCTGGAATTGGCGAGGAGACACTCTCTCATTATGACTCTCAGCAATGCAATTTTGAGTGTTCCCAAACACCGGTGACATCCGGAGACATTCTCGATCTTGTCGAAAAAAACAAATCCGTTTGCATTAATCTCACCAAGAAACATGCCGAAGCAAGCAAATCCTGCAGAAAGGAGATGTTGGATTCACACGCTCATGACTAATTATGTATCAAAGCTTACTCCGCAAGCAAAAACCAAACCGAACTCTAGTGAAGATCGATGAAAATAGGTTGTCTGATTGATTCATTTTGATTCATCTTGATTCATCTTCTTTTCGGACCATGAATCAAGAAGATTCAAGAAGTCAAGTCGAAGCGATCTCACCTGCCTTGCAATGCATTGTTTTCTTCATGGTGTTGGGATGCTACCTGGCTCAGGGATGCCGGTTTCATATGGCATCTGCCGCTGGTGGCCATGTTTTGGGTTGTCCTGGGAGTTTGTTGGAGTTTGTTCCTCGCAAACGAGATTGGTGTGGCTGTATAAAAAGTGTCAGTCACACAGACATTTTCGGACTTGACACGACTCTCTCTGACTCTCTCTCTCTCAGCTTTGTCCTGTATCCGATTGTATCTGTACGTCTGTTGTGACACTGTGGACCTGGATGAAGCTCGACGGGTACTGGATATAAAGGTCTTTGAAGTGTGGGTGCGCCAAACTTTGAGCCTCGCAGTATGGCTGATATACGTTGATCCCATGTCAATGTGATGAATGTGATGAATCACTGTGCAGATCTGTGCAGTCTGGATTTTGTGAAGCGCGGAGCTGTCTGAATCGATCAACTCTCAAGGTAGTGAGACTTGTAAAGAAACTTGCAATGACATACTAAATCATACTAATTAGATCTAATTAATACTAATCTAATTATCTTATCAACTGATGATGTCATTTCATGTAATTTTCTTGCAGGCGGTGCATTGGTGAACTTGTGCCTGGATCAAGGAAGCGCCCGGAAGGTGGACTTTCTCCTGTGACTTTTGCAAGTGACTGAGAAGTGACTAAGAAGTGCCTAAGAAGTGCCTAAGAAGTGACCAAGAAACGTAATAAAAGTCGCAAGACTGTCGCAAGACTGTCGTAAGAGTTGTTAGAGTCGAGTCGGAAGGGTCGTAAGCGTCAAACGAGTGAAATGAGTCAAGACTTGATGCTTTTGCTCGACTCAGACACATCTAAAGACGTCTCAAGCCCAACGGCACGATTTCGGCGCAAACTTCAAACTTCATCAAAGTTCGCTTTCCGGATCTTTCCGAAATCTTCAGCGAAAATGTCTGGTTGTTTGTCCTGCCACCTTTCGCGCAGCTCATCTGGGCTGCCACCATAGTAGATCTCATACGCAAATGCGTACCTGGAATTTACATGAACTTAGAGTACTATACACCTGCTCAGGTTTGACCACTTGAATCCACTTGATGTATCTTCTTGTCTTATAACTGATGACCAGATGATGAATCGTGATGAATCACACCATTCATGTACACTAAACCGATCCAAACCGGCTGTTGGTCATGCCGAGTCATGCCGCGTCATGCCGCGTCATGCCGCGCAGATCACGGTGTTTTCAACTTGTCAAAGACCCAATCCAAGCAGGTCCCAGGGCAGCTGTATCCCACCTGGAGAACAGAGTGGAACAAGCATTTCAGTGAGCCGTGGAAGCCAGCCATAGTCATACAATCCGTGACACATTGTGATACAATAGGACCATAGTGATACCATGGTAAACCATAGGAAACCGGTAGCATGGCAGCATGGCAAAATACCGCAACCACAATGAAACTAAGGGCGAGTGCCAAAATCGCGCAGTCTCTTGGCAGTCAAACAATAATAGGATATAATATGATAGAATAGGATGCTTTATTCTGTGGCGAAAAGCGAAAGAATCAACCAATGCATCCACTGAAAACAATTCTAAACTTTCTAAACATCTTCAAACAGCTTTCAGAGATTCTCACCTCCCTACCCGCAGCACCAAATGGGCATTGACAGTGGTCCTCAACAGGTTCCAAGTCGTCGGTCTACGCTGTTACTCTGATGTTGCTCTGACAAGAACTTGCTGGCTCAGCCACCTCACTGGCCTATCATTCACATTCAATACACATTCAATACCAAACAAGTTCATCTTGATATATCATTTGATCATTTTGATTTGTACATGTTGATACATATATTATTTATATATATATATATATGGCTGTGAGTCAAAATTGTGTATGGAACGTTCCGCGGTGTTCCGGGCGTATGGAACGAAGGGGCTTCGTAACTGTTCTTGTTCCGGGCCTTTGGAGCGTGATGAAATATAAGCTATACATAAATATGTATATATATATATACCTATTGTAAATATGTATGCAATATACATCTCAGGGATATGCTTGTTGAAGCTACTCAAGCTGGCTGCCGCTCATTTTCACTTCTCATCTGCACATATCTGCACGACATCCTTGCTGTACACCTGTTCAACACAGGTTTGCCTTGCATGGCTATAGTTCTCGTGCAATAGCTAGGACACAACCGGTAGCCAGCGTCATCCACAGGCTACCATGTGAAGCTGTCCACTCAGCTTCAGACCTCTATATCAGAGAACCTGCCATTTGTTCACCCGAGAGTGGGTCAGGGGTCGTACAGGATTGTTTCCGGGTCTGGAACGGGTATGGAACGGTATGGAACGGGGTCTGGAACGAAACGGCCCACTCCAGCACAGCTGCCACCACGCAGCGCATCTTTATCAGCCACGCAGCGCATCTTTATCAAAATTGGCAGATTGGAGCGAGAGTAGACTGCCAGCCGGCAGCAGCCAAGCGCATCCCTACCATCACACAACAAAGTAGGTAGCAGTTATAAGTGCTGCAGGCACAGACTTCCCAACACAATCACAGGTCTTGGGCTGTATGTGCGCAAAAATGTAAAATCAAATTGCACATGTTCATATATATATACATACAAAATTATATATATATACATAAATTATATATATACATAATTAAATCATATATATATACATACTTATATAATATATATATATAATAACGTATGGATCAGAGGTTTGGAACAGAGGTATGGAACGGATCCTTCAAGGAGGTATGGAACGGGGGTATGGAACGGGTGTGGTCCCGGAGCTTGTTCCGGACCTCCTATTTTGACTTGCCCCCATATATATATATATATATTTGCATGAATGTGTATGATGTATACATAGGGTGACAGGCTGTCCTCGTCCACCTTTTGCAAAATCCTCAGCATGTTCTTTGCAAATATTGTATTCAGGAAGCATCAACATGATCGTTTATTGGAGATTTCGCCAACACATCCGAACTCTGCACTTTGAGGTCACCAATTCCACCAATTCTCGAGTCAAATGAGGCCTCCACTGCATCATCGATTCTTGATTGCGATCGGCCAAATGCTGCATGTCAAATGCCCAGGGCATGTACATGCCTGTGCCGGACAAGGTCTTTTTCATTGCAACGTTTCAGCATGTGAAATCAGAGAAAACCGCAGAAACCTTTTGCAAACATAACTTCCACGTTGTATCAACTTTGATAGAATAGACTCAATCGACAATATGTAATAAATTGTCATATAAAGACTGTCCAAATCTCAACGGTTTCGCAACGTTTCGCACACATTCAGCTCTGACATGCCTAAGGTTCCGCTGTGGATGGTCAGAAACGTCCTAAGTCCATGACACCATATGACGCCCATGCGCTCACTGCGCCTTTGCTCAGAATCCAGAACCTCTGAGCTATGAACGTCGGCTCATAGGAGGAAACTAACCTGAAATACGGTAGTTTTTGCGACCGGGTGACATATGACCATGCCACAGGCCCTCTGGTGGTATCACTGCTGCAAGCAACAACACACAATGCCAAAGGCATCCATGCTGGTCAGTGTTTCTTGATTCTTCATATTTCTAATCAACTGGGTTTTGACAGAGTCTTGTCTCGGTTGCAAAACGGCAACACAAAATGGTGTGTTCACCCTGTACTGTAAGCACACCTTTAACTTTTGCATCTGAACAGGGCCCTGACTTCTTCAAAAGCTGTGTCTCTGCTTCACTGAAAGGCCTGAAATATGTTCCACGAATGCAAACAGAACAGACTGTCAAAGGAACTAAATTGCAAAACTGTCTCGCGTCTGATCTTATGTGATTTACTCACTCTTGAACTTCATACCAAGCGAAGAAGAGGGGTGCTTAAAAACAAGAAATGCATTTCAAGTCTGCAGCCAACTTCTCATGACAATGCATCGAACTGATTGGCACGTACGGATCGTACGGATCGTACGGTGGCTTGGTCGTGTCATGTCTCTTTCATATTTTTTCAATTTGACAGGTGTCACATGGTGTCCCTTCGGTCCCTTCGGTCTCTGGGACTGCGGCCCTTGTCCCGGATTCGTGTCAGTGCCGTAGGAGGCATCCCCCTGGCCCATGCCATCGGACGCAACAAACCCATCACTAAGGAGTATGTCCATGCCCAAACAAAACCTACGTATACCAGCTTAATATTATATATATAATTATATATTTATATATATAATATTAATATGTATATATTTAATTCTAAAGTTCTATTATGGCCTATATGTTAGAAATCAGAAAGTCCATGTGGATTGATGATGGAATGTCCGGTTTGAACAAAATCGCAACTTCTCAGCTTGGGACCTCCCAATGCTCATCCCAATTGCGATTCAAGTCCACACCGTTTGGGTTCACACGGAGGCACCAGTCTCCCTGGCAAACAGGCGAACAAACTCTGAACAAAATATTCAAAAAACAATTTAAAAACCCATAGAGATTGTCAAGGCATGTTTCAGATTTGGATTGGTTTGCAATTCATTTTGTTTTTGGCAGGTTCTGCGTATTTGAGGGACACCACTGATATCAAATGGGAGTGCAATTCATTACAAACAAAATGAAAAAAAACATAAACAAATTGTTCTTTGGCGCGACGTGCACATTGTCATGTTCCACACAGTGCCGAGTGCCTTGCCTGTTCTACCTTGGCTCTGCTACCTGGATTCGCGTTGAGGACCATCATGAACTCGTTGTTTCGCCTGGACATTGGTTCCGGATGGTTCTGGATGGTTCCGGCGCTTTCCAACATCCGACCATCCACAAGCTTCATGACTTAATGAAGACATATGAAGACTTAATGCCTTCAACGGAACTTCAACGTGTTTATATTTTCATCCAAACCAGGCCGTTTGAGTTTTGGAGATCTTGGAACATTTTTTTTTCAATTGTGAAACGTTTATCCGTTGTGGAACTTGAATGAACTTGACATATTTTGAATCATCTTAGCTCCAAACAAAACATCTTTCTGCTCGCAAACGGTTTTGACCTGAAAACAAATGTGGTGTTTTGAAAACCATCATAAGTCAGAGCCATACAGTGAGCGGCAAATTTTGAGATTGATGTGGCATACCAGAAAATCAACTTCAACCCTTTTCAAAATCTAGTTTGCTGAGATAGGATCAACATGGTAAAACTAATATAATTAACCTGGATCAACACAACAACTATTTCAGATCCAAATAAGGCCCCCGCGAAATGCAGACCAGACTCCGCAGAGATGAGTTCCCTGGCATGTTCCTGGCAGTTCTTGGAAACTTACTTTCACTGATATTCACTAACATCACCGTGTCATGTGTCACATCCACAGTCCCGCTGTCCCACCATGTCCCACCAGTATTTACTTGCTGCTGCTACTTCACACCAGTTCGTGCATTTAATTGTCCGCCCTGCCCCCCCCTTCCCACATAGCAACATGAAATGTGGAAAGGGATCGCTCTGAATCCACACTCTGACAATGGAACTTCAACATGCTCTTCCTCAAGTCAGTGCACAAAGAGAACAAAGTCACATAAGTCATTGCCATCCCGGTTCTAGATAGAGAAATCGACGTGAATATTGAAAGATATTGAAAGAAACTCCTCGAACATCCTCGAACTGTTTTTCTCCACTTTCGAGGTGTTCTTTGCTTTTTGCAAAGTTCGACATTGTTGGACTTGAATCTGTTGGAGCTGTCTCAATCGCTCTTCGCTGCCGCCTCATAAGATCCCAATGTGAATCTAGTTTCTTAGTCTGAGTGGACTTCAAGCAAAACATGAATGTGAAACATGTGAAACATATGAAACAATGATTTCAACTTTTAACATCATCTTTGTGTTTTTTTATGTATTCAATTTCCATCAATTTCCCATGTTGAAGAATCTCTGGAGGGCTGAGATCAGGCGAGGCTCGTCATTGTGTCTTTGGTATTGGCGCCCGAAGAATTTCAGGACTTCGTCGAGCAAAATCACGGGGAACGAGAACGTCATCACCAGCACCTTGGCACATCGTGGCACATCGTGGCACATCGTGGCACATCGTGGCACATCGTGGCACATCGTGGCACATCGTGGCACATCGTGGCACATCGTGGCACGTGTGCCAGGAGGCGCTCAGAACAAACCACGGCCATGTACCCTTTGTGATCCTTTGTGCAAGTCTCCCGGCTTTTGAGATCTGATGAGAAAGCATTTCAGAAAGTAAGAGAAAGTACAAAGTACACAAGAAAATTCCTCAAGTGCGCTTTGTTTGCCCTGCACCAGCCAAGCTGCCCAATCATGCCAGTCCAATGGGCAAACGGCAAACACTTTTGCCAGGAAAGGAGTATACAGAATGACCTGGGAACCAGCCGGACACTTTCTGATTCCACACCACACCCTTGGATAGATATCAACTCTATCCAAACGAGGAAGCTCCAAAATTGCCAAACTCCAATTAACACTCAAGGGATATTTACATTCATACCCACCTTGCGAGCCTTCAAAAGCAGCAGTTTTTTCTGTACAAGTCTTCCTGCACAATCCAAGACGCAAAGTGGACAACAACAGAGCCTTGATGCAACGCAAAAAATGATCATGATGACTCACAAATCATGGCAATCAGGAGCGATATTCAACACACTGCAAATGCCAAAAGTCCTCACAAGTTAAGCCTCAACATGTTTCATCACACATCTGGGAGGATCATGTCGTAAGACGTTTGTTGAGATTGTTCAGTGAGCTGTTTGTGTGGACTTCTTGGGTGACCCAGTCATACACTTTGGGAAAGCCTCGTCACTGACCTAGCCGCTAGCCGTTTGTGAGAACATCATCTGCTGTCTGAGCAGCCCATACAGGCCGCCACAAGCCAGGGATTTACCCAAGGGGCCATTTGCAACAATGAACCATCCTGCCGCATGAAAAGCACAGGCCCTTTACTGCCAACATGCCCCCAACATCCCCAGCACATCAACTGATACAAAGGGTTAAAGGGATCCCTACAGTGCCCTAGAGTATAAACTGTGTAGGATGTGGAGGGTAGAAGGTTGCCCAATCAGCAAGTCTTACGCCAAAAAATAGAATCACCTAGTCACCTAGGACAATAGAAATGCTGCTTGTTGCTGCTTGACTCTTCTCGCTGGGTCCTCAGAAACAGCGTTGAAGGCGTTGAGCATCTCTATGATCACCTGATTGCACATGGCGATACATGGCGTACATCGCCATGACATGGGCAGATTGGCATCCAGTTATCCCCCATATCCCCACATCGTACCCATACGAATCACTCACTGAATCCATATGTTTTCTTAAAAGTACAGAAAATTGCATGGGTTTGTCTCCCAACGGGTCCCAACGAGGACAGCATAACCAGTGAGAGTCAATGGAATTGTTTCAGTCAAGATGCAAGGACAGTGAGGGACAGCGTGGATGCCTTCACTTTTCCTACAGTGAAGTAGGTGCAAGGATCTTGAAACCTGAGCACGGTGGGCTGCAAATGTTTTCAGGTGTTACAAGTGTAAAGCCACTACCTGAACTACATCTGAATAAATGGAAGGACACATATGGAAGCATATGGAAACACATGGAAATATAAGTGAAATATCTGAGCCCAAGATATCCATATCCAAGATTTGCTTCCGAGAGACCTCAAACCAATAAAGGGCCGGACTCTGAAGCCGCTCCACTCATGGCAACTGCCCCAGGTCATCAGTTGCCCGAAGGTGACCAAGCTGTGACCTGAGGTCAACTCAACTTGGAACATCTGTGAACCACACTGGAGCCATTGAGATCTCTTGAGATCTCTTGAGTTCCCATCATTACCAGTTCATTACCAGTTCATTACCAGTTCACCCATCTGGTCATATCTCATCATATCTGGTGAGCAATTGGAATTTGCACAGTTCAAAGGTCTTCTTTCAATCAATCCCTAGCAAGACCCTCTAGTCTCACATCATCTTTCAACATCTGTCAACATGAAAATTGCTCAAAATGGCAATAGTATGCAAAAGTCCTGCTTTCCACTTCGTCCTGTCCTGTCCACTGGCCGAAACGGCTGTGAAAACAGCCAAAATCAATGTCGAGATTCCATCAGTACCTTCATCGAAGCAGTACCAGTATATGAAAATGCCCACGGTCGCCACACCGACCTCAACTTGAGGAGAATGGTCACTCAAAATCGTGACTGAACGAAATCTGGATATAGAAGCACGACAAATCAATACAAATCACATCCACGACAAGGCACATAAAGCCCAATAACCATGTAGCGGAAAAATACCTGCATGCTGAAATTCCAAAAGAATCAATCAAGGGCAACTTGATTTTGGGGACTGCCGAGCCCCTGATGTCACGAAAGCGTTGCAGGATGAGATTACAAATGTATAATTACAAAATATTACAAATGTAGCCGAGATACCCAACCAGAAATAAGATTGTCGTCTTTCCTCCTGCGTGCGAGGAAAAAGACAAATCTTACACAACCCTGGGCCTCCATACTCGCCGAACTATCAGGGTCCAAAGAATCCGCAATTCTTCGCTCTGGGTTTCTTTGTAAAGCCTTTCATGGTGGGACTGTGGGTGTTGTGCATGTATATACACTGATGGCTTGCCAAGAAAACCATGCAACCACCGATTTGAGTCGAGAGATCCGGTCGGACCTTTCTATGCCATTTTATACCCAGACACCGGAAAACAAAATGACTTTGTCAAACAAATGTATGCAAGAACTGTCTTGAAGCCTCCGATGTCTATGACGTCTATGATCCCCACGGACCGCGGACCAGTGCATGTTGAAGATTGTTGAAGCTACACCGCCGAAAAACATGAAAAACATTGCTAAATTGGCTAAATCAATGGTGCAGCTACTGCACAGCTACCGGTGCTACATGGTGCTACCCGTACGAGTCTACATGGCCTGGGTGGTTTGCACATGACATCCAGGTCGGGTGGATTGAAGCTCAGTGCCGTGGCAGGCAACCCATCCGTGACCAGATTCACCTCGGCAAATGTCAAAAAATGTCCAAATGACCAGAGCACAAAGCATGACTTTAATTATTCATAATTATTCCATTTAGATCCATTGTTTGTTTCATGTTTATTCATTTTTGCTTCCTTCCCAAAGTATCTCCATCATTTTCGTTCTGCCAAAGGTCCCAAAGTAGTTGCACTGGTGCCAAGCCCTCGGGAATTCCCAGAGCAGCAGTGAAGAAAATGGACGCCACCTCACCTCAGCGTTGGCCTCCGTGAAGTGGGAGAGGACCAGAGGACCGGAGGACCGGAAAGCATCGGAAAGCATCGGAAAGCCGCCATATGATGGAATCTCATGGAATCTCAACATATTTTTTTCTTCGCTATGCTTCGCTCATTGGCACCTTTGTTTTCTTCGAATTCTGTTTCTTCCAATAGGTTCCACACCGATATTCGATGAAATGAGGTACCGGATGAAAGCCTGCAGGGTCAACTGAGCGTAGCCCAAAGAAATGGTGGTTTGCGCAAATAGATGCAAAATGATGCAAATAGCAGCTATTGGTTACAGTGTCAAAGATGTCAAGCAGGTCAGATTAAGTAGCGCAGAACCTTGATAACGAAAAAAACCACATGACAAGAACATCTCTGAGTGATGTTGAAATATATCAAGATGAGTCGGAAGCTTGGGGAAGGGACAGAGAGGGCTCCATCACTAGATATCACTTAGTTAAGATATAACTGATATAACTTAAGACTTAAGATATCACTGAAGATATCGCTGATATGGCGAGTGTCGCGAGCCTTCATGTTGTTGTAAATTGACCTCCCCTCCTCCACGGCGGCGACAATTGTGGCAAAGTTGTCGTCCGCCAGAACCTTGGGTACGAGACATGCCGGACACCACTCGGCATGACACAGACAAAATCGATTCGTCGATTCGTCACATCAGGCTCCCCTTTCTCGAGAAAATTACGGTGAACCAAACCGCGACTGACACACTGAAAGTGACAGAAAGACACTTTTCAAGACTGAACATCTCGGAAGCATTAACAAATATTAACAAACTGAAGTTACTGAAGGCACTCTGTCCATCTCTGTCCAAACATCACGAAATGTCGGATCTTGATGGATCTTGTATCGGCTTCCATTCCGCTGAGAATCGCACCATATCAGATGCTTCTTTGGCCACCTCGGGGGGGCACGGGATAAGGAATCCACAGGAATCCCAAGGATGAGGTCCTAACCCGTGACGGTGGCATATCGGTGACATACGGTGACATATGCGCCATCGCTTCAGTTGCATTGCTTGATGCATTGCCTCATGTTGCTTTACAGTACCATACAGTGCCATATTCCCATCTCAATGTAAAGCAAAGCTGCTTCAGTGCCCGTTAGCCCCATCCTTGGAAATACACACGGGTACCAGCACAACAAAACATAGCAAAACCATGCAAAGCCTATCAACAGCCCTAACATGCCCTAACAAATCCACGAGCAAACAGCTGGAAGCTTTCTTCAATCAACTTTGACAATTTCAGCAATTTTCATCGCACACCACTGGACTACACCTTTTCACACCAGTTGAGCTTCGCAATGCCAATGTCCGCTTGCTTCAGTGCGGGCGCATCATTGACACCATCGCCAGTCATTGCAGTGATTTCGCCAATCTGCTTCAGTATCCTGCTGCATTCTGGGTCGTATCAGACCAGCTATGGAGTGCTATGGAGGCAATTCAGCTGGAGACTGGATACGTTGGATTAACACAAGTCTGGTGCAGCTAAGATGCTTCACGATCCTCATTAAGCGGTGGTCAAGTCGTGATCAAGCCGTTGCAAGGAACCGGTGATGGATGGCGTGATGAAAGATGAAATGCATGTTTGACATATTTTGACATTGTTGTACATTTTTTTATGACTTACTGCTCTTGAAGTTCGTCACTTGCTTGTGAAATCCCAGGCTGCCAAGTGTCGTTTGTTTGTGTTTGGGTTCGGTGCGAGAAAAGACAGCACCCTCGATATCTCGCTCAGAGGCAATGCGCTGCAATACCTATCCAACTATCTCAAGCGAACAAATCGCTAAGCCGCGAAGGGTACTACAAACTCACAGACACACTACAAACTCCTATTCCAAGCCTCAAGAACTCTTGGATTGCAATGGATTTCACATGTATTAAACCCTAGTGCTGGTAGCAGCTGCTAGCAATGCGCCTTAAATTTGTCTGCGTCTGACAGCATCTCGAACTCTTTTCCTGGGATCACATCTGGATGTGCTCAATTTGGAAGACTCTGCAAAACGAGTTTTTTTCTGCAGCCATGCAAAAACATTCTTTCTGCCAAGATGCCAGTGAAAGACTTCTGAACCTCCAGAGGGTCGAAAGTCAATCTAAATAATCGCCATATTTCTTCTAAATGAAGTTTTTCCAAGCATCCAAAAACGGGTCTCAAACTTCGAGAGTTGTCTGCATCTAACAGCATTTGACATATTTGACCCTCTTCATGCATCGTGAAACATCGGAATCTTTACCGGCTTCACGGATCTAAACGGAGCATCTTCACCATTTCGAATCGTTTGAATCATTTGGAGTTGACGCTGTTGACACTGCCAGGTACTGCCAGGTACTGCCAGAATGTGGCGGTGCTGTGGCGCCAAGGTCGCGACCAAACTGCCGGTGCCCGTGAGAATCCCAAGCTTCCGAGCGATGGCTTCCTGGCAGCCGGTCGACTCGAATCAGAACGAAGCAAGATTATCAAGATTCGTGTTGTCTTTGGTCTTTTATGGTTTTGTCATGTTTTGTCGTTTTATCTCTCGCAAGTGAAGCGCAAAGAACGAAGAACGTATCAGCACATCTACGATCATCTATGCACATCTTCCATCATCTTCCATCCTCTTCCATCATCTTCCATCATCTTCCAAATCTACATGGATTTCTCATGATTAAAAAATAATCGTATTTATATTATGCATATTTATGCATATTCAATCAATATTTATGCAATCACTCGCGGAACCACATTAGCTGGGTGTTTCTGATCTTAGCTGAGGCTCTGCAGTGATCTTGTTGTCTCCAGTGATCATCACAACCTCGGACACCGTTGAAAACCGTCCATTGAGGCTTGGTATGACTTGGTGACTTGGACCGTCTTGATCCGTGACGCAAACACAAATTCGAGTTTCCCTTCGACCATCTTTCGTCATACGATGTCATACGTCTTCATGGCCAAATCCACATAATCCACCAGGTTTTTTTGTCACGCGTCAACATTTTGTTCGTTGATGTTCGTTGTTCCTTCCCAGTTGCACTGATACCGGCGATTCGGCACTCCTTGATGGCCTGCAAACCTTGGCCGGACGTTTGACTGTGCGGATAACGAACGAATGAGATTCTTCCGTGGACAATGCTATCAAGGCCCATGCGAGTCAACATGAGTCAACGTATGGCACTACATGTGTCCAAAGTCTGAATTTGACAAAATTAGCCCAGCTTTGCAACCCAACAGCATACCTGAATCTTCCACCTACGTCTTTTTTCAGACCCTGTGCCAAAGTCCTGTTTTTTCAGTACCCAGAAAACTTTTCAGGACCTACTCTCAAATTCAGGACCTGGCCATTTTGGGGTATCAATGGTAATGGCAATCATTGGGTGCAAACATGTGAAACCAACATTTGGTGGATATTCAAGCCATTGGCATTGATCCACGCAAATAAAAGCACTCCCAGCCCAAACTCATGGCAAGGCAGGATCAGAATATAGTATATTCCAGAAAGTATGTCAGAATAGATGCCAGATAGGATGCCAGAAAGAATGTCAAATCGAATCTCAGAAAAGAATGTAAGATAGTATGTCAGAACATATATGCCACATATCGTCCAGATGATATGTCAGAAACTATGTCAGAATAGTGTGTCAGGGTGGGGATCACTCTTAGTAAGGCAATTTTGAAAATATATTTCAGGTTCGGAATTTTCAAACTGTTGTCCTTCAGGCGCCGAAGCTCCCGTTGAAGGTCAGCATCGCCCCATGTCAACTGGTCCAGTCCCACTTCCATTTCAACAAGTCCAACTTCATCGATTAGGGTGTTGGTTGAATGGACTTGGGACTCTAGCTGGCACGGCATCCCTTGTAACCCTGTAGACACTGTAGTGGGCAAAAAGATTGTAACACACAGAATCAGCATCATTTTGATCAGGCATTCTTTTTGCTAGTCCTTTCTCCCTATTACGAAAAATACCCCCAAATGACAAAAACTAGGTGCGATTTCCAATTTTGAGAAATGTCAAATTGGTTAATCTGATTTTTAATTGATCCCCTTGAGGAAACAATTTTAAAAATGAAGGTACCATGTGAGGGTTTCACCCCCAAAGAATAAAAAACTAGTCAACACCGGGGTGTCTTTTATTGGGGTCCGTCCTTTAAAATCGTCAATTTTAGTTTTTTTAATTCAGGTGTTGGTGTTTTATTTGATACTAGGCGAAAGCTTCGAAATCCTATTCTTGGCAGTATTCTATTTAAAGATTATTTTCATGGATTTTGAAATTAGAAACAAAAAACGGTTTAATCCCTTCCCCCTGTTGCTAAACAGTCGCCCCTTCACCCACCCACCCAAATAACAAACACCTGGAGGAGTTTTTAGTATTGGGGGGGTCTTTAGTATTAGGGTACGAAGCTTCCCCCTAATACTGATAAAAAAACACACACACACACACATATATATATATATACACATATTTCTATTTCAAAATCGATCAGATTTCTTTCTTTTTAAATCCAATTAAAATATGGCAAACAAGTGGATTCCGAAGCTTAATATCAAATAAAAACCCCCAACATAAAAAACTATGTATGTTTTTCTATTTCGAAATCGATTAGATTTCCTTTTAAAAATTAAATAAAATATGGCCAAAAAATTGGATGTCGAAGCTTTTCCCTTATATTAAACCCTAATATCATTTTGTTTTTTTCCCTGTTTCAAAATCGATTAGATTTCCTTTTGAAATCTAATGAAAAAAACAAAAAATTGATTTTGAAGCTTTCCCCTAATATCAAATTAAAATCCAATTATTAAAATATGTTCAAAAATTGGATTTCGATGCTTCCCTTAATCTTGCATGAAAAATTCCAATAAAAAAACTAAATTTGTTCTATTTCAGAATCGATTAGATTTCCTTGTAAATTCAAATTAAGATATTGCCAGAAATTGGATTTCGAAGCTTTCCCCTCATATTAAACCCTCATATCAAAGACTATTTTTTCTATATCAAAATTCATTAGATTTCCTTTTGAAATCTAATTAGAATATGGTCAAAAATTGGATTTTGAAGTTTTCCCCTAATATTACATTAAAAAATCCTAATATAAAATATTATTTTTCTTTTTTGAAATCGATTCGATTTCCTTTTAAATTGTAGTAACAAAAATAAAAACAAAAACCGGATTTCGAAATGTTTCCTCTAATATTAAATTACCAGCCCTAATATATTTAAAAAAAACTGTTTCAAAATCGATTAGTTTTCTGTTTAACATATAATTAAGATATTGCTAAAAATTGGATTTCGAAGTTTTCCCCTAAGATTAAATTAAAAACACTAATAAAAAAAAACTATATTTTTTCGATTTCAAGAATCGATTAGATTTCCTTTTGACATCCAGCAAAAATATTGCCAGGAAATGCCAAAAAGTGGATTTCGAAGTTTTCCCCCAATATTATATAAACGTTGTAATATAAAATACTTATTTTTTCGACCTTAAAAGACCCTAGTTTAAAAAATCACCGGGGCTGACTAGTTTTTATTTTTTGGTGGTGAAATCCTGAAATGGGACCTTCATGTTTAATTTGTTTTTGAAAAGGTATCAATTAAAAGTCAAACTGGCCAGCCTGAAATTTCCCAAAATTTAACGCGGACCCTAGTAAAAGGAATCAATGTAATATTTTAGTATTTAGGGTACGTTTAGTAAAAGGAGGTGGGGATTAGTAAGGTTTTCAATTTAATATAAGGGGAAGCTTCGAAATCCAATTTGGCAAGATTTGAGTTAGATTTTGAATAGGAATTCAATCGGTTTTGAAATATAAAGTTCATTTTTTAAAACGAATGTTTTCAATTTAATGTCAGGGGGAAGCTTCGGAATCCAATTTTGGCAATATTTTAGTTAGATGTTATTTAAAAAATGTTTTCCAATTTAGTTTTTTTAAACCAAGGGGGAAGTTTCGCACCCTCATACTAAATACCCACTAAATACAAAAAACTATTCCGTGTGTTCATTATTGGGTGGGGAGGGGCAGACGGTTTATTATGACGCAGGGATTGGTCAGGCATCACTTGCTGGAATTATTGGATTCTTTTGGGATGATTGGTATGATGTTTAGTCAGGCATGGTTCCCTTCAGTCATGCACGATTTTTGCAAAAATCCTATTTAGGCACGACCCCAAAATCCCAGCCCGGCAAATTCCGGCCCGGGCCCGGCAAATTCCGGCCCGCGCCCTGCAAATTCCGGCCCTGCGTTTTTCCAAAATCAGGCAAAACCAGTAAATCAGGTATTAAGTCAGGTGTAGTTACCTTTTAAGTCATTAAGGCTAGTCAGGCATGGTTCCAGTGGGTACCTTTTAATTGTGAAGGCTAGTCAGGCATGGTTCCCTGAATTCAGGGGCATGGGTACCTTTTAATTATGAAGGCTAGTCAGGCATGGGTTCTGTTAAGTCAGGCGTGGGTGGGTACCTCTTAATTATGAAGGCTAGTCAGGCATGGTTCCCTTAAGTCGGGTGTGGTTACGCTTTAAGTCATGAAGGCTAGTCAGGCATGGGTACCTTTTAAGTGATGAAATCTGAATCAGGCGGAGCTCCTATTCTAAATGTGTTAAATCCAATTGTTCAGTGTGGAAAATCGATTTTTTGGCTGGTCTACGGGCAAACCCTGTGTCTTCCAATACCATAGCGTGCTGATGTCGCTTGCCTGCATAATAGTTAAGGCCAAAGCTTAGGTCATCAGTGTGATCCTGAAATGGCGCCACGACCAAGAAGATGACATGTGTAAAATGGGCCCTGGATTAACAAAGGCTGACTAATGAATTTGGAGGATGCCACTAAAGTATGACATGTAATCACTTTTGAGGAGCACTCTATGGCACGCAGCGCGCGCAGCCTGCTTTACGGTTTAGCGTTTGAAAGTTTTAGGCTTTGCCTCTATGGCACGCAGCGTTTGAAAGTTTAACCGTTTACCTCTATGGCAGGCTGTGCGCGCAGTACGCGTTACGGTTTAAAGTTTGAAAGTTTTAGGGTTTATGTGTGTGGCACGCAGTGCGCGCAGCGCGCATTAGGGTTTAGGGTTTGGAAGTTTTATAGTTTATTTTATTGCATGCAGCGTGCACAGCGTGGGTTGAACTTTAGGGTTTCGAAGTTTTAGGGTTAACCTCCATGACACGATGGTTTAGGGTTTGGAGATTTTAAGGGGTACTTCTATGGCACACAGCGCGCGCAGCGCGCGTTAGGGTTTAGGGTTTAGGGTTTGGAAATTTTAGGGTTTACCTCTATGACACGAGAGTTTCAGGTTTGAAGATTTTAGGGTTTATTTCTATTGCACAAAGCGCGCGCAGCGCGCATTAGTGTTTAGGGTTTGAAGGTTTTAGGGTTTATCTCTGGCACGCAGCGCGCACAGCACGCATTAGGGTTTAGGGTTTGGAAGTTTTAGGGTTTATTTTATTGCATGCAGCGCGCACACCGCGGGTTAAACTTTAGGGTTTGGAAGTTGCATAACACGATGGTTTAGGGTTTGGAAATTTTAGGGTTTACTTCTCTGGGACACAGCGCGCGCACCGCGCATTAGGGTTTAGGGTTTGGAAGTTTTAGGGTTTACTTTATTGCATGCAGCGCGCGCAGAGCGCATAGAGTTTAGGGTTTGGAAGTTTTAGGGTTTCAAGGGTTCCAAGGTTCCAGGGTACCAGGGTCCCACGGTTTCAGGGTTCCAAGGTTTCCAGGGTTCCAAGGGTTCCAAGGGTTCCAGGGTTTCAGGGTTCCATCCCAGCAGGGTGCCAGGTGTGCAGGGTTGCAGGGTTCCAAGGTAGCAGGGTTCCAGAATCCTTGAGGGTTCCTGGGTGCCAAGGTTCCAAGGTTTCAGGGTTCCACGGTCGCAGGGCTCCAAGGTTCCAGGGTTTCAGGGTTCCAGGGTTCCGGGGTTCCAGGGTTCCAGGGTTCCAGGGTTCCGGGGTTCCAAGGTTTCAGGGTTCCAGGGTTCCAGGGTTCCAGGGTCCCACGGTTTCAAGGTTCCAAGGTTTCCAGGGTTCCAAGGGTTCCAAGGGTTCCAGGGTTTCAGGGTTTCAGGGTTCCAGGATCCCAGCAGGGTGCCAGGTGTGCAGGGTTGCAGGGTTCCAAGGTTCCAGGGTTCCAAGGTTGCAGGGTTCCAGAATCCTTGAAGGTTCCAGGGTGCCAAGGTTCCAAGGTTTCAGGGTTCCACGGTCGCAGGGTTCCAAGGTTCCAGGGTTTCAGGGTTCCAGGGTTCCGGGGTTCCAGGGTTCCAGGGTTCCGGGGTTCCAAGGTTTCAGGGTTCCAGGGTTCCAGGGTTCCAGGTTCCAGGTTCCAGGGTTCCAGGGTTCCCAGGGTTCCAGGGTTCCAGGGTTCCAGGGTTCCAGGGTTCCATTCCGGATTTTGAAGGCTGCAAGTCCCCGCGAGCCAGCCCCAGCCCTAGAGATTGAAACCCAACAGGCCCTGCTGTTGGGAATTACCTGAATGGAAAGATTCATCGTCTTGACGAATCGTCAAAAGATCGCTGAAACCAATATAAAGTCCCCTGTGCTAGTGACTAGAACTTTCTAGCAAATCCATTTAGGCAAAAACCTCATATTGTACCCCCCAAAACCATCCAAAACAGCAAACATTCCAAGTGACACTCTGGCCGTGGTGGATCAATGATGCCAATCAAAGCGACAAAAGTTAAGTCTGTCTCCACCTGCGACCATTGCTGCAACTGTAGACGTTTCGATATGTTTCGGTACTTCTTGTTGATTTATGGTGGTTTTAACAGCTGTGGCGCCCCACTTTTTGCAGCTCCATTTTCCACGTCTAGAAAAGCAGCGCCGCTTTTGTCGTCAGCTTTACATTTAAAGGTTGAAAATATTGAAATCAGGGATCTATCAAGACATATCAAGACCCCATGGGTCTGATGCCGTCCATTTTGCAGATCCCCTCGTACATTCATGGCCAGTTCATGGCTCTCCAAGTTCGTGCGCTCACTGGAAGTTTACCCAGATGCACTTGAAAGATCATGAAAGATCTTGAAAGCTGATGATTCGATGATTGTCTGCTCTACCAAGGCTTTGTTGGTCTGAACACTTGCCAGCCTCAGCTTGCGAACCCCTTGCTCTGGAGAAGCATGCCATGCACTGCCTTCATGAGGACCTCCATACGAACCATGAGAGATGCCAAGAAAAGAAATGGTAAGAAGTAAGACATTGCAAAAATGAAAACAGCAAAATCATGCAAAATCACCCATGACCCTGCACTTTGGCCAAGCACATGGCTACACAAAACCAAACAGCGTCAGAATTCGTTCAGAACTTCTTGGCTTCTGACTAAAGCCCTTTGGCGAAGCCCATTCGCTTCAATCCTTCCAGGGCAAAGTCCAGTGCGGGAGGATTCCTTAGTGTAGAAACCATGCTTGAAATATCAACATCAACATGTTAAAATACGTCCACGTTGTCACACCTGGACACGCTTCACTGGCACCCTGTTTGCTTCGTTATGCTCCCACCAAATGCTGGGCCGAAGCTCTCAATGGTCCCCGGGATTGGCGGCAACTTTCCATCTGCCATGCCCCGGATGTTTTTCCTCAAGACCTGGCTACTGTCAGTGCAACATTGCCGCCATTCCAAATCACAAGTGGACACCTTTTGTTCTTTTTATATATCTGTATAGTTCTTTCTGCTCTCTTGTTTCTCCTGTAAAAATTTCCGGTTCATACTGGTCCAAATTTCCTTGGCTTTCCATATGCTTGCATATGTTTTATGTTTTCATGATCCAGATCCCATCTTGTGGTCCCAGTGCCGGTGCCATCGCCTTTCCGCTTCGCGTCTTGGGCAGTTGCTCCACCACCGTGGCACCGGCCAATGATGCAATGGCACCGATGTCGTGTCGAACCTTGTCCTTCACTTCCTGCACCTCATTCGGCAGTCAAGGCGAAACGAAGCGCAGCTAAACGGCTAAACAGATCTAAACAGGACATGTTCGAAGATTTTCTAAGTTTTGGTGATTCATTGGTGATTCAGGTGTCTCCAGCTCCAGATATCTCCAGGTAGAGTTGCTTTGGTCTCAGGAGGTCACTAGCATTCCGTCGCCCCTAAACGGAGGCGAACTCCGTCAAGTGATGACACGTGATGACACAAATGGCGCACAAATGGCGCACAAATGGCGCACAAATGGCGCACTCGGGACAGTGTTCTGGGGGTCAAACAATGGTGTCGCAGTCTTTTGACAGCACATCATTCAGGACCAATAATGCAAGTGGCACCTGCAGGGGCATCACCGGTATACTCGCCTTGGCATCTCCCGTCATCCTCTCAGTCTATCTCAATACGGTTTAGAGTTGAACTTAAACATGTCAAACATGTTAGACATTCAAGAGGCTATGGAGAAAAAAATACCCACATGAAAAACATGTCAAACAAAATCATGCGCCCATTCTCCAAAGTAACATATGACATGATATAATTAGTCGATATATATAGTAGTTTTGTTGTATTTTTGAAGTGTAAACTTGTAACCCAGCTACGCAGCTGGAGGCATTGTCCATGTGGCATCCAACAAGTTCACCTGCAATAATTCCAATTGTGCATGACTCAATCATTTCTAAAACCCGTATAACATCTGCACCTGCAACACAACTCCCTGGCACCTGGCCCTTCACTGGATCTGCAGCTCCCACCACTGCACAATCATTCACATCCTCAGAGGTTTGCACTTTGCACCGTCGTTCTGTGTCTTGCTTCGTGTGAGGAGGATGTGCAAAATGTAAAACATTGCAAAACATTGCAAAACAATGTAAAACTCTGAAGCACAGTTGTTTAAATATGCAATAAATATGCTACTTTTTTTGATTCCAAATCCACCCGCACCGAAGGTGCTGGGGCGTGATCTTCCGGATGGCACTCGTAAAAGGTTACAGGTTTACCTGGGGGGGGGGCGCATGTTTCGGCCAAAACCTCCTGTTTTTGATAGGTCGTGACGCTCGCCTTCAAAAAACACTGTAAAAAACAGTACGGAAGACACCTGTTCGTGAACGCGCCCGTCCAAAATCGGCAAGCGAAAAGTGAAAAAAAACCGTGTTTTTCAACTTTTTGACCTCAATTTTTTGGTTTGCAACATCTTTTTTTGCGGTTCCGCAGGTGGCCGGGCCCGGAGGCGGATTTTTGAGTTTTTGGACCCGTTTTCGGACTGATTTTCGTCGTTTTGTGATAGCAGAAACACTTGTTTTTACAGTGTTTTTCTGTTTTCTGCATGCTTGACGGCTAGCTTCAAAACTTCCAAAAACCTCGTAAATTACGCTGTTTTATGTTACGGTGTGAATGAAAACATCGTAAATACCAGTGTTTTTTGACGTTGGTTAAAAAAACACTGTAAATTACAGTGTTTTTGGCCACCTGACCCTCAAAAACTATGGTATTTGCAGTGGTTTCTGCTTCTCACCGCGCAAAAACACTGTAAATAACAGCAATTTCGCCGTTTTTTCATGTTTTTCGTTATTTTTTGAACTGCGTTGGTCCGCTATACATGGCCATCAAATTCTTCGCGTTTTTTTTTTCCGACAATCAGTACTTTCGGATGTTTTTGGTCTCAATGCCCCTGCTGTGTGAGCCCAACGATGCGGTGCGGGCGGTTGCCGTCGCGAAGCGACGTGAATAAGCCATGAACTCAGTGATACTCAGTGAGTCAAGGTTCTGGGTGCGCTTTGATGCTTGCCTCAATTTGGCCACAGGACAAGCGGTGGGCCGCCACGTTGATGATGTCATCGCTACCTTGATCTGTATTCCGGACGATTTGCGCAAATGTCACCAAAACAGCACTTACAAGTGATATCAAGTGATCAAGTGCCACTTGGAAGCTACGCTTGGCCTAAATCAAGACGCCCCTACGACTTTCATGCAAAATCTAGACTTGTAAGATCCACGCCGACCATTCCAGTTCTGGAACGTGATCGACATTGAGTGACAATATTGGACGATAAATCCAAAGTGTCCAAAGTGCCCCCCCCAAAAAAAAACACCTGAAATTTCCTGGTTTTGGAAAACAGTGACGAGCTGATGCGTTCATCCGAAGCCACGCTCCAGGACTGTGACGTACCCCTGTTCGTCGATGACTCCAGCATCACCGGTGGAGAAATAACCCGGGAATGCCTCCATGTATGACTTGAGGAAGCCTGGCGCAGCTTACAACATGCAAGGATGTGCGCATGTCAAGGACAGAAAGAGCTCATCTCAGAAGTGTCAATGTCGGGTAGGAGCCTCACAAGTTATTTCATTTCAAAAATGATCAAACATATACGGCTCATATATCGGAAATATGGAGGGAAAACGTTCCCCAGAATCCTTTGAGAAAAGCCAACTTAGGTGAGATTCCTACCACACTTGGCGCATCGTGGTGAGCCAATCCGGCCCGGGGATCTGTGGTAAGATCGTTGTGTGGATTTCCTGGTGAAGCCTTTGCGCGTGATTTGCAGGGAACATATTTCATCACGATTCCTGAATTCCAGGCCCGACTCTAACTCTCACTGTCTGACTGTCTGACTGTCTGACTGTCTGACTGTCTGACTGTCTGACTGTCTCAATCTCTCTCTCAATCTCTCTCTCATTCTCATTCTCATTCTCATTCTCATTCTCATTCTCATTCTCATTCTCTCTCTCTCTCTCTCTCTCTGATTCTCGTGCCCTTTGGATGGAACTAGTTCGCCATCTCGACTCGTCCGATTGGAACATGTCTTTGGCAACCTGGCTAAAAACCCCTAAAGGCACTGGCGGCCCACCTGCGTCATTCTTCCAAAGCGTTGGGAAAGTACCCGGCGGCAAAGGCAACTTGACCAGCAAGGATCCGGCCTGGGCCGAGTAGTTTATCATGGTCTGTCACGTATGCCGCAAGGCTCTGGGGCTCAGCAAAGAGGAAGATGAGTAAGGTTGCAGGACGTTGTCTCTGGCCAATGAGGCCAAATGGTAGGAAACTCCAAGGAATGCTACGAATGACCACGGTGAGTTTGCTGTAAAAAAATCAAAGGACAAGAATAGGAAAACACCACGCCCTCATATGCCCTCGGCCTGGTTGGGCACGTTCACCGGCACACCATGATCGTCAAGCACCTTGGCACCAGTGCCGCAAGAGCCGCTTCAAGGGTGCAAGGCATGCAAAGTGCACAGCCGTGCACAGCCAAGGAGCGACTACGTCGAAACCGTACAGTGGAAGACTGGTGCTGCCATCCTGCATGTCCAAGGAGTTGTGAGGGCAAGGAAGCAGAAGCAGGTTGTTGAAACCGTCTCGGATCTGTGCCAAACCACTACGTGGAAAATGTGGACACTGGCAATCACTGGCATACATCTGCTCCATCGAAACGGAAGACTAGGCCTTTCGTCCAATGGCCTCATCTTGCAAGCCACAAATGGGATGGCCTGACCATTATCAGCTCTGCAGTTCAGAGCGACTGTCGCACTACTGTCACACTACTGTGTTGATGGGAAATGCTTGGGTCAATGGATTAATGCAAAGAACACTCTACAGGAAACCCGAGTCGCTACAGGAAAAGCTAGGGAGAATATAAATAATTATGTTGAACCACAATTCTCAATCATCGTCTTGGCTATGGCCTCACACAAATTAAATTTGTTACGCTGTCAGAAGTAAAGCTTGCCAAGTTCACCCAAAGTTCACCCAGGCCTGTTTCTGTCTGCCACCAATTGTCGTAGAAGCCCGTCTGCAATGTTGTGGCGAAGAATTCGCTCCTTGCGAAACGAAGAGCTGGGCTGCAAAGTTGCTAAAAATGAGCACAGCCACCAAGGCCAAAAGGGTGTTGACATATCGTTGAGATTGGAGTTGCTTTCTGCATCTTTACGTCGCTTTATGGTTCTGTTCTTCAATGCGCAAGGCCTGCCAGGCCACTTCACATTATAGCACGTCGCTGGAATTCAATCAAGACAAGGTGCGTTTCAGGATCACAACGCTCCCCAGCGACAAAAAGGCTTCGCAATGAAGACAGATCGTGTTTGCCTGAAGATTGAACAAGCCATTGTTGTAATTTGCTGTTTGTTCTTTTTGCCTATAACATCCCCACATGCCTTGACTATTTATGATTCTAACTGATTCTATTTGAGATGGAGCTACATGGAGCTGCATGGAGCTGGTACCACGGAACGACAGAAAGAACATCATGGAACATCATTGGACCGAGTTACGGATGAGATCCCCTTCCGGGTCAACTCGACGA